CTACAGCAGCGCCATGGCCGAGTGGTGCTCGGCGCTGCAGCTGCTGCGCCGCCTGCGGCGGCGGAACCTGCGGCGGGACCTCAAAGTCTTCGGCCAGGCCATCGCCACCTGCCAAGGCGACCGGGGTGGACCCAGAGAGTGCGGCGTATTTTAGGGGAGCCCCCCAAATTGTTTTTGAGACTGTCCTGTTGGCTTCCCTTGCAAGCCACAAAAAGAGGTACTTAAATGAATTGGAGATCAAGTCTCAAAGTTAGTTTGAAGTCGCCGATGTAGATGTCTTGCCTCAACCTGGTGTCCAAACACGTATTATGGATGTTCCCTGTGGGAGTCAACCAGCGACCAGTTTCCCAAATTCGAGGCCGAGCAAAATGGCAATGAATTTAACAGGAACCCACCTGCAAAGAGGCAGAATCCCCACCTAAATTTGATGTCCACCATTTCGGGTCCGGGACCCATCAGAATTCGTGCCCAAAAAGTGGCAAGCCTTCCTCCTCGCCAGAGCGCCAGCGTGCGGTGAGGCCACTGGCAGCTGGCGCTTCTCCTCTTGGAGGAGGTGCGGGCGCACGCCTTGCTGCCAGACCTGGTGGCTTGCAGCGCCGCCATCACCGCCTGCGAACGAGGCGCGTTGCGATAGTCGCGATGACGCGGTGGAAGGAGTCGGTGAGGAATGGAGATCCAATGTCAACGGCTCATCTGCTTGTCACGGCGTCCAGCTGGTTGGAAAAGTTGTGGGACAATGAATCCAAAGTGCCGAGGATTTAGGGCTTGAGTTCTGCATGCCTGTGCCTGTGCGGGTGCGTTTTCAGGGTAGTCTACGCTTCGTTGTGTGGTCCTGTGGTTGTTTGCAACTTTGCTGTGGCCGGAAATGCTGCTACTTCTCGACATGGGTTGGCCTTAAGTCCTCGTCAGACAAGAAACGCTGACATGTTCATACTGTTTGTATATTGATATATTAATACATATATTACACATATCTTAAATGGCTGTTTGGAGCCTTCACAATGTGCGAGGTGTTTTTGGGGTGAAGCAGACGATATTTCTTTCAGCTGGTGCCACTGGAGATTCGTCAGGTCAGGAGTGGCCGTGGGCGTTGGAGCTGCTGTCGGCGATCGATTCGCAGAACGTGGTGAGCTACGGCGCAGCGATCAGCGCGTGCAGGACGCTCGACCCAAGGAGGGAGCTGCCCCGAAAGGGGCCTCGGTCTCTTCGGTGCATTTTGCCAAGGGATGTTGGGGCTTGAACTTTTTGCCAACCAACGGGTTTTCCGTATTGGACCACTCAAAGTCAAACTTTTAGCAGGGGAGCAGAAAGCAACCGAGGTGTGTTGGGAATTCTGACCCACCAAAAGTGTTGGAGGATTTCCTGACCCCAGATCAATCAACCAACCAGTTGATTTAATTCGGAAACGGGGGCGTGGTCCCCTCCAACAGTGGTTTGATTCCCTACACCCAGAAAGGGACACCCCCCCGTGAATAATACTTGGGGGGGTTAATCTGGGGTCAACATTGCACACGGGCCATCGAAGTTGCAAGGTTCAGGCTGGTCATCGTTTGGAGTTCTTGTGACCTGGCCTGAAGACGTCCTCTTTTCTTGGCTTTCTCAGGCCCGTCGAATTCTCTGCGGCGGGTCGCCCAAACCGCTCGCTCGCCCGCGAAAACGGATCCGAGGAAGGCGGAGCAATGGCGCTGGGCGTTGCATTTGCTGAGGGAGCTGCAGCGCGAGCTGCAGGCCAACGTGGTGGCCTACAACGCCGCGATCGGCGCCTGTGAGGGCGAAGCAGCTTGCCCGGAGATGCATAGGTGTCCTTTTTGGTTGGTTCGAATGGAAAATAGAGGGGTTCCCCTGGTTTAGATGGGGGTTTATTCCATTTACCAGGGAAACCCATCTATTTTTCCAAAAGGCCACCTATGCGGAGGTGCCGGTCCAAGGCTTTGGGGATTCTTTGGGCCCCCTGGACGCCGGATTGCCGGGGCAAGATCCGCTTTTTCATGCGCGACCCTCGGCGAAAAACATTGTTTTCGTTTGGGTCCATCCACCAGGGGAACCCATTTGGGGTACCAATTTTAGACCCACTGCCGTATGTTTTCTCCTTCACCGCGTGTGAGCCACCAACGGCCTAACTGGCGCCTGATTCAGAGGCCAAGTGGCAGCTGGCGGTGGCCTTGTTGGCGGAGATGGCCAGCTCCGGCATGGAGGTTTGGTGATAAATGTGGCTGTGAATCAAAACCAATGGTAAAAATTTGGGGTAGGTGCACCACCCAATTTAGTCTACTGTAGTGGGGATTAGGATGTTCACTGGGGGGAACGGGCTTTTGACCCATGGCCATGTGAGGATCACACCATCATCGACCCCGAACCATACCCAATTGCATCCGGAGTGCTCAGCACCCAACTCAACGAGGAGCAAACCTGATCTTACTTGCGCCCCTGGTTTTATTTGAGGGTACCCGTTGGGTGGTTGTCTGAAAGGGAAACTAGCCTTTTTGTGGGGAAAATGGGTTTGTTTATTTTGAAAGGACATCCAAAGGGCAACCAACCATGTTTGTGGGTCTCCTGTGTGTACACAACCCAAATCCAGACCCGGCTTACAGGATGACTTTGCCATCCAGACTAAATGGTTCCAAAGGGCGGTTTCCCTTCAGGTGTCCCCAAACAATGCCAGGCAAGTTATTTATCGCAGCCGCCTCTTTTGTGAGTCATCAAGTTTCCCTGAATAACTTCAGGTTTCCCTAAGTAGCTGAACAGGGCTCCTTAGAAGACACATGTTGCCCATTTGACACATATTGTTTTTTTCAACACCAAAATAAAGTTGGACACCACCATTTACAAGTTGCAATGTTCAGGTGTATAATGCATCCGGATCCCTGCTGAATCGCAAAAAAAAACACGGAAAATGGCAAAGTCGGGTAGAGAGATGGCCAGGCGGACCTGATCAGCTTCACTTCTGCCCTCAGCGCGTGCCGCCAGTGGAAGATGAGCCTGCAGCTTCTTGCGCAAACTCAGCAACCAGGCGACATGCGGCACGCATCGGTGTGTGTGTGTGTGTGTGTGTGTGTGTGTGTGTGTGTGTGTGTGTGTGTGTGTGTGTGTGTGTGTGTGTGTGTGTGTGTGTGTGTGTGTGTGTGTGTGTGTGTGTGTGTGTGTGTGTGTGTGTGTGTGTGTGTGTGTGTGTGTGTGTGTGTGTGTGTGTGTGTGTGTGTGTGTGTGTGTGTGTGTGTGTGTGTGTGTGTGTGTGTGTGTGTGTGTGTGTGTGTGTGTGTGTGTGTGTGTGTGTGTGTGTGTGTGTGTGTGTGTGTGTGTGTGTGTGTGTGTGTGTGTGTGTGTGTGTGTGTGTGTGTGTGTGTGTGTGTGTGTGTGTGTGTGTGTGTGTGTGTGTGTGTGTGTGTGTGTGTGTGTGTGTGTGTGTGTGTGTGTGTGTGTGTGTGTGTGTGTGTGTGTGTGTGTGTGTGTGTGTGTGTGTGTGTGTGTGTGTGTGTGTGTGTGTGTGTGTGTGTGTGTGTGTGTGTGTGTGTGTGTGTGTGTGTGTGTGTGTGTGTGTGTGTGTGTGTGTGTGTGTGTGTGTGTGTGTGTGTGTGTGTGTGTGTGTGTGTGTGTGTGTGTGTGTGTGTGTGTGTGTGTGTGTGTGTGTGTGTGTGTGTGTGTGTGTGTGTGTGTGTGTGTGTGTGTGTGTGTGTGTGTGTGTGTGTGTGTGTGTGTGTGTGTGTGTGTGTGTGTGTGTGTGTGTGTGTGTGTGTGTGTGTGTGTGTGTGTGTGTGTGTGTGTGTGTGTGTGTGTGTGTGTGTGTGTGTGTGTGTGTGTGTGTGTGTGTGTGTGTGTGTGTGTGTGTGTTTTTATGGGGGTTTTGTGTTTTTGCTTTTTCCTTTGGCAGTCCCAAAATGGCAAGGGATTCCTTGTGGTATTCCATTTAAACCCAACCAAAGCGCGGGTCCCCCCCAGAAAAAAGGCACACCCATCTAGCAGTTAGTTTGAACAGAGAAAAGCCACGGTGCACGGAAGAACAGCCTGCCCCGCAGACGCACTGGCCTGCAATCCGGCGATCACGGCGTGCGGCCGAGCTGCGAAGCGACTCAGCCTTGCAACCAGAGAGGTGTACACGTGAGAAATCAACCTAGGGCCCCCAGCTAGGTGCCCTTTGACCAACTTTTCTGGGGGAGGGTTCCCCTACTAAAACAGACTACAGAAAAAAGTTGGTACCCTTATTCTAACCTCTTTACTGGAGGACCTAGCAACAGTAGCTTATCCCAGATCTGTCCAATACGAGAGCTCTAGCATGCAGAGCTGCAAGGTTCATTCCAGGCGCCTGCCCCCTGCAGCTGCTTTCAGAGGATCCTTTTTCACCCCAGCAGATGCCGACCTTTAAAAATCGAGCCTGATGACTTGCATGACGCAAGTCATGGGCACGGCTCATTTGAAACAAGGGGTGTCGATTTTTGGAGGCTCGACCGAGTACCCCGAAAAAGGGGCTTGGAGTATGAAGGGACACCAAAAGGAACGCCTTGACGCCATTTTGGGGGAGACCGATTCTTGTTTTCAAGAGCCACCCCCCAATTTTTGTCCAGCCTTTGCGACAGGTGGCGCGTGGCGCAGTGTCTTTTCGAGCGCCAAGACGACCCACCCGCCACGAGCTTCGCGGCACTGGACGCGGCCTTCGACGGCGGCGGGTTTGGCCACTCCCGCGCGGCGCTGCTGGGGCGGCTGCAGATCCGTGCTGCGGAGTCCGTGCGGAAAAAGACGAGTTTGGGTCAAAACCAATGGGATCTCATTTTGGTTGGCCACCCATTTTAGGCTTTGTTTTAGTAGGGATTGGGAGGTTCACTGGGGACGATTTGGATTTGACCCATGGCCACACGAGTTTGGGAGCTTGGAGAGAGGTGCTGAGAGAGCCACCGGAGTTGATGGGATGTTGCTTGGGAGTGGTGCTGGAACGGAGGCATTGCAAGTGAGAGTTGAGATTGGTGTGCGTAGATCACGGACTCACTTTTTCGGCCCCGGAAGCGCAGGTCCGACCAGAGCGACCCGGTGCGCCCGCAATCTTACTGAGCAGAAGCTGGCAAGCTGCTAAAACACGACACACGACATGACATGTCCGAGCATCTCAGTTGAGCGCATGCTTATCCCATTTCAGAAACTCGGGCACATTGGTATGTGCACTCATCAAATCAGTGCAAATACATTGAAGTCGCCTACTATAATTTGGCTTGGACACTAACGCAGAGATTTCGACCTCAGCAGGCTCCAACGATGAGAGCGGCCAGGTCGTGAGGTGCCAAAAGAAGGCCAACGATTTGAGGGCCGCGAGAACTCGGGCGAGGTCACTCCGGACGAGGTGCGAAGAGCTTTGACTTGAGATGTTTCTGCGCTGCCAAGACATTTTTTTGGTTTCGACACCTCGGGAGCATAGGTGTCCTTTTTGGTTGTTCTGGTAGAAAAATAGATGGGTTTCCTTGGTTTACCTGGTGGTTTAATCATCCATCAGGGCCATCTTGCCCTAAAAGGACACCTATGCTTTGGAGCCGGCGATGTGTTCGGCGCCAGTCGGCTTGCAGGCCACGAACGGCGCGGACGCCAAGAAGCGGAAGGCCCGGAGTGCTCAAGGAGGGCGTTTTTGGATGTCCAAGGCGATGAAGCCGCTGAAAAATATGCGGAAAGAGCTCTAGAAGGGAAAGTGGCTGACCCCATACGTTGACCCCATATGAATCAACCCCGGTTTGTTACTTAGGGGGGTGTACCTGGATTTAGTGAGGATTCAGACCACTTTTGGTAGGGAACGCCACCCCCTATTTTCTTCAACAGAAGTTGATGAATCTGGGGTCAACATGTTTCACCACTTGGGATAGATGAAACCCTATGCTCGAGAAACCATCCCAGCTGGTGCCCGTCATGTCTTCCGCATCGGGGCTTCAGGCACCAGCCCTTTCGGCCCAGAAGAGCAAGGCGCGGGCTCCGTGGATTGGTTTCGTTTCCTTTACCCTCCCTTCCACTAACATAGCACCTGTGGGAGGGTACCTGGAAGATGATGTTCCTCTTCAATGGACCCTCTGTTTGGTGCCATGTTGGTGGAAGGGAGGGTATTTGTTCAAGCCCTTGAGCTGGTTGATAGATACTCCGTTTAAGGGCCCCCAGCTTTTTGGACCACGAGCTTGTCCAATTCGTGGGACATATCATCGGTTTGAGCGGTTTTAGCCAATGGAAATCCCAGGTAGACGACCCTTTGATCAACCCACACGGCGGGTTCCTTGCAATGTCCATCCTAACATTTGGAACCTTTAATAAGTGTGAGCGCAAAAACCCGGCGGAGCCAAACATCTGAAAACGGGCGTCCTTCTTTTCAATTGTCTTGCACGGTGGAGTCCCTGTGAAAGGAAACCACAGGAAGGCTTGACAGAAGACCTGCAAGACTTGTCGCTCGAGATGTTGTCGCGGTACGGAAAAGGCCTGAGGGGGGTAAACGCTGAAACAGGCGCAACTTGGAATTCATTTGGCAGATGGGCAGGCACGGCGGCAGGCCGGGATCCCCATGGCGCGTTTGCGCGCTTCGTTTCTGCTGCGACCCATGGCAAGCCGTTGCTAAGGTGGAAAGACCCCGGGGCCTCGATAGCTTCTTCAAGCGCCCTGTGCTGCAAGCTGGGCTCGATTGACGACCAGGAAGCCCATTGCGGCCGTTTTGGATGAATGAACCATGAAACAGGGAGTCTCACTTTGTAGTCAGGTGTGAATCCATGTCAGGGGCGTTCCATTTGAGGGCCTTCCTTATCATGAGCTAGACGCCTTGTTGGGGTGCGGCTCTGGCGAGTTGGCATGAAGCAGTGGCTCCCCCAGAAGCTCCGCTGAGGCGTGTGGACGCCGCGGGCGCGTGATGCCGTGCATGGGGAGGAGTGCGCTCTGTGAGTCCATTAGACACGCCATGTGGCTGTGGCTCAAAAAAACCGGTACCAAAATGGAACCCTGGTAAGTGGAAACATGGACCAAACCCCTCCTGTTGAATTTTGAGCCACAGCCATGTGTGTGTGTGTGTGTGTGTGTTTTTATGGGTACTTGTTGGGGTACTTTTAAAGAGAAGCCAAAGAACAGTTCTTTTTTGGAGCGCACGGTCATAATCACTTTAGAGCCTCCGGCTCATTCCGCCGACTTCTGCGGCGGGCGCCAGAATGAGTGGTGACATGTTCCTTGGATTTGGATGCTTGAAAAAAGTTGGTGATCCCCTTTAAGACGCCAGTATTAAGACGGCGAGTCTTTGCCATAGAAATTGGCCCTCGCGCCCTCCATTCACCCCACTGGCTTCGCTGCCAGGAGCCACTGGCATCGTCCAGTGCCGGCGCTGGGGAGAGCAGCCAGGGAGAAAAAGCTGTGCAACTCGCACCTGAGCCACGTGCTCAAAACCCGGGTAAGTGAAGCTTAGTAAGGGACGATCCCAGCCACAAATACCTGCGGATATCCGCCTTCTTAGTTCTTTACATGGTTCTGGGTCGACCATTTGTGTAACGGGTTTTGATTGTGACTCACTTCGCGACATCGAAGTATATTCTTGCAACACCCCCAATGGCCGCAAGAGTATGGTAATCCCTATGTTCAACCTGTATAACCTTCTTAATAGAACCAAGAGTCAATGGGTGTTGGTCGCTGCTCATTTGTGTTTGTCTGCTTTTCGCGCTGCTTGTGTTTCTTCTTGGGCGGGAGGGGGGTGGTGGTACAGAAGGCTGCCTTCTGCCAGTTGACAGTTAGGCTGCTGAATGCTTTGCAGGATGCGTGTTTGACAGCAGCCAGAAAATTGGTTCCACCAGACAACCGGTGGCGAATTCGGCAACCTTGGCGTCTGCACCCAGACATGTGCACTGGTCGGTGGTTTGGCTCAGCCACGATCTACCCGCAGCTTGCCAGCTGCAACTCAGGCGTTGGAAACCGGGGACCCGAGCGTGTCACGTGCGTTGGAAACCCTTGAGGAGCGTGGTCTGGTTGTCCCTTGTGTTGCTTTGCAGTTCTGTACTGGCCACGTAGGCATGGACACACATGCAGATTGGCTTGCACGACTGTCAGCACCACGAGCGGCAAGCGCTTCGTGTTCAGCGAACCTGGCGAGGGGTTTGCCACAGTTTCGCGAACGAGAGACTTCATTTGCCACCAAGCAAAACTGATCACGATTGTCCTAGCATGTCCTGGCCAAACGCCGCGCTGCACAGAGCAAAGCAGCAAGCCGGCTTGGAGCCACTGGTCTCAGCATTCTAAAGGGCTCGCGCTTGGCTACCTGCCCTTCACGTAGCATGCCAGCCGTGAGTCCTGAGTGGGGCGGCAGGCCTTCCATATGTACGGCACCTTCCGCCGCCCAAGCACAGAGCGACGCTTGGATGAAAGAGGTCGACGGCGGATTGCCGCGGACTGGGACATGCCTTCAGCATTTGAGCAACTCTGCACCAAGTTTGCCCCATGTAGGGTGCACTAGAGCCTTCAAGGGTCCTGAAAGGGTGAAGTGCAGACGCTGTAATTTTGGAAAGCAAACGCTGGGGCCCCAATGTTGGGCTTAATTGAAAAGGTAGGGAAGTCCTCTCATGTTTCCGAGGCAAGAGACGAGATGTTGGAGATGAGGACGAATTCCCGTGGCTCGTGGCCCTGCTGTTCGTGGTGATCCTATGCGCCTTGGCGTCTTATCGCCAGTGGCGAAGTGTTGAAAGCGGCTCACTCGCAGCCAGCAGTCTGAGGCGCCTACAGCTTCGTGCTCTATGGGTGCTGGGACGTCTCCACCCGGATCCAGACCTTTGGAGAGAGGCCGAAAAGAAACTGAGATCGAGTCAATCGAGACATGTTTGAAGTTCCTTCATTCTGTGGATGGACGAAATCCTGCACCACCTCAGAAACCCCTGAAATGATGGTTCCGATGCAAATACCACCAATGGTTTCCCTTGGTTCTTAGGTGGTGCGAACGGATTTCGTCCATCCACATGGCTGTGGATCCAAAAAGGTACCCAACGCGGAACCCATACCCATCTTGATCTTCACGTGCCAGGTCCAGCCACTCCCTGGCTCTCACTGCGGGCGTGACAGACGCCATGCAAGGCGCGGAGAGCGCATGTCGCCTGACCTGTCAATCGCATCGCAAGCAAGGCTTTGGAGCAGAAATGTGGAAAGACTTTGGGGGATGCGAGGTATACTTACTAGGTCCCCCAGTAGTGGCCTGTTACATCCTGTTACCCTTTTTTGGGGGAGGGCCCCTACTAAAATAGACTACAGAAAAAAATGGGTACCCCTACTCTAACCTCTCTACAGGAAAACCTAGCCTAACATGGCTCAACCAGCTCGGCTCCGCATGAATGTTCTGCTCAGCCAGGTGTCGTGTCTCAATCCGTCGACCGTGGAGAAGAGGCCACATTGACTGCGCATCTCATGGATTGAACGTGTTCTTCCCTTTCCGGCGATGACATTGACATGTTTGTGACACCTTGGCAGAACGCACTGTCACCAAAAGTCCCTTTCCGGCGACATGTTTGTGAAACCTTGGCAGAGTCCCATGGTTTTAGGCGCCGATTCGCAGGCAATCCACGGCGGCTTGGATCGTCTCCTGATCGAGTCGGAAAATGCGCATGCGGAGGTGGGGATGCCGATAGATCTGGCCAAATGCACAGAAGCCCTGGAGTACTGCTTGTTTATGATCCTGCATTTGCTTATGTCAATGTGTGTGTGTGTGTGTGTGCGTGTGTCTTGTCTTTGGTGTCTATCATGTCTTGTGTGTGTGTGTGTGATTCTACTTTGTGCTTGTGTGTGTGTTTCTGTATTTGTGTTTGTGATTGTGTTTGTATGTTTATGTATGTGAGTGTGTGTCCGTGTGCGGGGTGGCTGGCTGGCTGGCTGGGTGGCTGGTCACTCACTGCCTTCCAACCAGCTCAGGCCCGGAAGCTGGTCAAGATACTGAAGGACAACTCGGGCCTTCTGGCGGCAATTGAGCCACGTGCTCAAAACCCGGGTAGATGAAGGTTAGTAAGGGACGATCCCAAGCATAAATAGCTGCTGATATCCGCCTTCTGAATCCTTTACATGGTTCTGGGTTCTCCATTTACCGGGGTTTGATCAAGCGACATTGACCAAATGAACTGAGCACTCTTGGAAGCGCCCTTGAGAGCGCTCTCAAGATCCATGGCAGTGAGGTTTGTGCATTGCGCAGAGGTTCAATCTCAAGGCCCCCGTTTTGCGAGACATGATCCCAAAAATCCTCACTGTGCGAGTCTGGTCGATCCAAGGCCACATGGCCAAGGAAATGCAAACCACGTATCGCAAGCGACCTGGCAAAAGATGGCGATTTGTTTCATCCTCGGGCCCCAGTTGGATTTTGGTGCGAGCGGATAGTGTCTCAGGTTGGTGACCCTGCTCTACGCGGAATCCAAGCGCCTGAGTTTGCTTGGGGCCCGCTGCAGCCCCAGAGTGAACGGCTGGAGCTCGGCATTTGCTGTGTTGGATGAGTATGGCAGCAAACCGAAACCCCAACCGTACTGAATCATTCGCGCCCGGAAATTAGCCATTGTAGTTGCTGGTTCTAGGACCATACAGTTGGTAGAACCAAACATCAAAACGTTTTAGGCGCTCGTTTGACTGCACAGGGGCCAGGCATTGCCAGATCCGAGGATTGCAGTTTATACAGCAGCCTGAAGCTGCAAGATCCTTGGTCGATTCGGTCACTGGCCTGGTAAACATGCACCTTGGCTGCACTGGTAGGCGCCAAGACTTCTGTGTTCTTGGGTCGCAAAAATGCCACTTGCATTTCAGGATGGTGTGCTAAGGAAGCTGTTCTGTTAAGGAACCGGTGTATTTTGGGAAGGATGTTCCGTCAAGCCACATGCGTCTCTGAGGATCTTACCGCTTGCAGCCGCGTTGCCCAACGACAAGCAGGCAGACTCAGATAGCACAGGTTCCAATATGAGTGTAACATGTTTTATGGGGGGGAGACCCCTCCAAAATGGGTGGTTTGCCTTTTTGTCGCACCTATAACGCCAACCAAAGAACAAACACCGACTCAAGGATATACAGGCACCCATCTTTTGCCTGACAGCTCCATTGCACATCGCAAAAACCCTTACCTCATCGAGTTGTCGATGTCATGCACTTCCGGCAGGCCATGATCGGCTTGATGAACAGCAGCTGGTCTCACTGGACATTGGACTTCCTTTCAGACCTTTCAGCCTTTTCAGATATTTCAGACCTTTCAGAGTGCAGAGTCGGTGACTTTTTTTCAGGCCTTTTTAAATTCAGATCTTTCAGAGTGCATTGGAGGTTGTTTTGTTGACTTCCTTTCAGACAAAAGGAGAGACCCTTGTCTGAGGCACCAAAGAGCTCCAAGCCATCTTCGCGCAGATGGACACCTCCATCGAGTCGGTGGATATGTTCCTCCAGGCCCGGTCGGCCAGACGACGTCGGCCACGGCGCGACCGACCAGTGAGCCACGTGCTCAAAGCCGAGTCGGGTAGATGGTTTGGTTAGTAAGGGACGGTTTTTTGGCCATAAATAGCTGCGGAAATTTCCGCCTTCAGACAACTCTTGAAGCATGGTTCTGGGACGATCATTTTACTACCGGGTTTTGAGCAAGTGACTCAATTGGATTTCCTGCGGCGAGGTGCACCAAAAACGTTTTACCGGGTTTTGATTCTGACTCGAGTGACGAGTGGCGTGACTCGAGTCCGAAGGACCTGGCAGCACAGTGCGACCACTTCATCTCGGCGGCCGCGAGCCAAGGGTGAACGACGTCCCAAGAGGACTTTGGACCCGGGGGCATCGAAATGGATCTCCCGATTTTCCTTTTGGCGTCGGTTTTGAGAACCAAGCAACAAGGGGTACCCGCAAAAGAAGACGTACTTGAAACTGTTGAAATGTGTGCTTCTCTGGGCCTAGACAATGATAAATAGCTGTGCGCAGACGACGGAAATGGATGCTGAACTGAGGCCTCACTGCTGGTGAACCACAGCATGGTGGAGGACTTTCAGCAGAAGGTGGCTGATCTGCTTGGAGCCCAGGCGTTAGGTGTGGCGTCTCGATCCGGTTCTCATGGGTCTGTCAAGAGAAGGGAACACGGGGATCCCCAAAGAAACTGGGCTTCGGTGTTCCTTTCCTTATCCTGTGTTGGTTTCAACCTAAAAAGGGTCGCCTCAAGAGTAGTGTGGGTGGACGAAATCCGATTCGCACCACTTGGGCTAGATGAAACCCTTTGTGGATAGCAGGATGAACCACCACCTGCCAATGGGTGCAAAGTGAGCCACAATCAAACCCGGATAGATGAAGTGTAAGGGATGGTGCCAATCAAAAATGGGTGCAAATATGTCCGCCTTTGTAATTCTTGAAGCATGGTTCTGGGATTACGACCATTTGATCACCGATCGGTTTTCTTTGGCCCCAATCCTAATGAAACCACCTGAAAATCTGGTTTTTGGGTCGACAATTTTAAGTCTCAGGCACGGCTTTGATCTGACCCCGGGCACTTCTCAGGCCCAATGAGACTTCGGCGATGCTCATGAGCTTCACTCACTTCCGGGAGTCTCAGCGCCCTTGGTTTCGAGGGTCATCGGATCAGCGGGTTAGCGGTCGCCGCGGGTGTTTTTTGGGTCACCGAAGGGGGAAAACCAGCTGGGGGTGCTCATAATTATGCGCTTTTTTGAGATCATCGGTAGAAATGGGGTTGGTCACCTCCGTGCTTCTTTGGATTTTGGACCCCCAAAATTTGGCAAGGGGGTCCTGGCGGTGTTCCGTTTCAAGCCAACCGAAATTGTGTTCCCACAAAGAAGGGAGACACCCAATCGGCGCACCCAAGTGGATAGTTGCAATCAAAAAAAGCAACTCAGAAACGTACGCCCATGTCATATTCAGAAGAACTGCGTGGAGTTGCGGTTGGCACACCTAACAACACATATACAAGCTACGCGGGCTTGTTAAATGGAACATTCATATATGGAACCCCCAATCTTGCGATATAGGCCTGTCACCGTCGAAAAGAAGACAAACCTTCGTATGTGACACATGTCGGACGAGGTATTTGCGCAAGCTCTACGACCTGGATTTAGTGAACAGCTTCGATGAGCTGGGACCAGAAGACCAGAAGCTCGTGACGCAGGCAGTGCAGTTGTCCGTTCGATGAGGGCGTGGCTCGGGCAAACCGCAGGTTTTGGTACCCATATTTCCACTTACCACCATTTTGGTACCGGTTTTCTGAGCCACAGCCATGAGGTTTGGGGACGGGCCAAACGAAAGGGGAAATTGCCTATGGCAATTGCCTTTTTGACCGACCAATTGGAGGCTTTGGCGTAGATGCATTACCTTCTGGTCGGTCTGCTTGAAAACTTGGAATGCTTGGATCCAAAGAAAGCGTTGAGAGCTCAGCAGGACATGTCAGCGCAACTTCAGGGAACTTCGCATTGGACAGCCTTCCAAGGGTGGCATTGGCCAACCAATTGGGTGTGTTTGTTGTTTGAGGGTACCCTTTCTGCATGGTTTTAAACGAAATCCAAATTGAAAACCACCATTTTCCTTCAAGCCAAAGTGAAAACCGCAATTTGCCTCTTCTTCTTTTCTTTGGGGGGGTAGGGGGGTCCCTACCTTCAAAAGACCCACCCCCGGCTCCGCCGGGAGAACACCCTTCCGCCTCGGCCCTTCGGCCCGTCCGGCAGGCGGCGGAGGCGCTGCTGGGCATCTCGGAGCACCTGAAGCGCGAAGTCCAGAGCTCCGAGCAGATGGTGAGGGAGGCCATCGCCCTGGCGCGGCGGCCCAGGCCCAGGTGGCCCAGGTGGAGCGGGGGAGGTTTGTTTCGCTGGACGGCTGGTGGCTTGGATATTTAGACTTTTTAGTCTTTGGTTGAAATGAAGGGGGTTTGCCACTAAACCCGTAAAAAATGAAACGCTTTTTGCGGAGGGTTCAACGGCAACAAAGTCGTGGGAGGTTTGGCTCCAGGTGTGGTTTGGCTTCGATTTTTTAGGGAATGCTGCCCAGTGGAAGCAAGCCGCAGGCAATATGCTGTTTGATTGGTGAGGTTGTATTTGTAGGGAGTAGGAAGTGGTTGGGCAGGTTTTGTTTTGGCGTGTTGCTGTTGCGGTTTGTTTGGTATGTGCTGAATTTTTGGCGCTCGCCAGTTTGTCCCGCCTCAGGTGAGAGCGGGGACCAAAAAATCAAAGGCGGGTGCAAGCTGGACTCCGGAGCTGGCGGACATTTTCGCCGAAACGTCGGTCGCAGTTCGCGGCTGGCCGCAAGCTCACACAGGCGGAGTTCAACTCATTGCACAACTCGTCCCTTGAGCTGAGCACTGAAACCAAGGAGTGGGAAGGGGTCAATGGGAGCTGGCCAACCCTGCAAGAGGCACAAGGTGTTTGTGGCTGCAAATTATGTAGAAAAGGGGGGGGGGGGGCGCTGGTTGCATGCTTATTGGTGCAACCTTCCAGGTGGCCCAACTGAGCTTGGCTGTCCGGGACACGCTTTCTCAAAAGCTTGGTTGAATCGGTGCGTCCGTTTTGTTAGGAGACCCCAACAAAAATGGTGGTGTCCCTCTGAAAGTGTCCATGTGAAGCCAACCAAGAAGGAGGGGTCCCTCCAAAAAGACACATGCAGTTTGCAAGATTGTGCAACACTGCGAGCTTGCAGCATCTGCCATAAGCTGATCCAGGACGATATGGACTGGGCAGCCCTTGTCTATTTGCGAGCTGCAGGCTGCTAGAATGATGACTTACATGAATGAATATACCCAAGATAGGTAACATATGCATAGTTTATGACATGTGTGTTGCGGATTGCATCCCATATGCCTGGCTCAAGAACCATCGCCATCGCAGAGGTATTTGCACCATCTTCGCTATGCTCATGGCCTTCGTGGGATTGGCCTATGCCACTTGGGCTTGGCAGACTCGCTCGGCATGCAAGCGCGTCACTGATAGATGGATATGGCCATGAGTCAAAACCCAAATCGAACCCCTGGTGAACATCCCAATCCCCACTAAAATAGGTTCTAGAATTGGTGGTGCACCTATCCCAAAATGGTACCTTTGGTTTTGAACCATGGCCATATGAAGCCTGCAGACATCACTCATGTTATGTAGAAGATGCGCTCCGGCCGAAGTGATGGGTTGTTCCCTACAGGATTCGCCCAGTCGAGAAATCTGTGCTCGCCTTTACAAAGAGTTGCCAGCCGACTTCTGTCCCATCGACATGAATTCCCAAACGGCCCATCGGCCTGTTGCGTGCGTCAAGTGTCAGGCTTGCTATTTGGAGTACGTCTATGAGAACCTGGGCATTGCTCGAGCATTCCAATCAGAGCTACAGGAGAGCGAAGGCGGGCATTGCCGGAGAGTGCCTCTGAGTCATGTCCGGCAGAAGGTTTGGAAGGCAAATGAACCATATGTGACCGGGTGAACTTGTGACCTGCTCTCAAATAAATTAGTGCAGGTATGAAGAAAGTAGACTTGGGCTTAGTCTCCCGGATTGGTTGGCGTTTAAGGGCTCCACCCCATCCCGAACCAACCGCCTTTTTTACTTCTTGACATGGTTTCGGGTAGACCATTTTAAGTCCGATAGGCTTTGACTCAGTTGTGCCCTGATCTGGAGAGTGGCTTTGTGAGCCGTGCAGGTTGCCTCTGGCGCTGCCTGGGCCACAGAGACCCAGAAGCTTCGCTTCGCTTCTTTGGCGCTTCTGGGGTTGCCTTGAGGCATGGTCTTCGTGGGCCAACTTGCGGCGGCCTCAGAGCCAGATGCGCCACGCTGCCTTTGATGCTGTCTCTTGTGCGGTCTACATGGCTGCGGCTTTTTGCTATACTTGGTGGGGCGGGTTTGAAGGGGAACAAAGGCTAAGCCACCAAGTCTTCGAGGGTCCCCTGCTTTGAGACAACCCCACATGCTTGTCTCGAATCATTCGTGTCTTCCCTTGCTGATTGTCAGTGGCCAATCTAAAGATCGAGCATTTGCTGCATCGGGCCCGATCCGACCATTGTATTCAGTTGCAGGCAGATGAAGTTGTTGAACCCAGCCTCGTCAGTATCACCCGAACACTCGCGAACTGTGTTGCCTTTGTGCAAGTTGTGTTTGGCGACTTTGATTTTAGCAACAGGTTCGATGGGCAAGCAGATATTGGCCTGGTCAGCAAATCCAAGCAAATTGTATGTTTTCGTCCCGGTTTTCTTCCTTGGTTCCCAGCGTCCCCTCTTTCCTGACTCACTTCCGATTGCTTTCCAGCTTGGCCGGCCTCTTTGCTCCTGTTCTTGTCCATTGCCATGTTGTGTGTGTGTGTTTGTCGCGTTGAAGACACAATATGTCAACCTCATTTGAAGCTCCAGTTGGCAGTCGACTTAGCGCTGCCCCTGGTCAGCTCATTTTGCAGCCAGCATGTGAGCGGCTTCCAAAACCTTCGTGTACATGTCCAGTAAATGTCATATTGATCGGCGCGTAAGCAAAAACTCCAGGCGCGTAAGGGGCGTAAGCTGCTGGCGTCAGGAACCCTGGTAAGTGGAAACATGGACCAACACCTGCGTAACCTCTCCTTTCTAGTTTTGAGCCACACCCAAATTTGGCTCCACAGCCTCCACAGCCTCCACAGCCCAAGTTGTTCTGCACGCGTGGGTGTGCTCCCACTGAATGTTCCCGCGCAGCTCCCCGCGCCCGTCCATTGCTTCAGGTTCACAGCGTCGGCTTCTACGTGTTGATTGCCGCCCAGGACTTCGCAGCTCAGAGATCAAATCCGATGTGGCTGTCGTTGTCAAAAAGGTTTTGGGATCAACCAGTTTGGTTGGACTGGGTAAATTCACCACCCGTTCTAGGCTTTATTTTGGTGGGGATTGGGATGTTCACTGAGGGTACAGGGTTTGACCCACTGCCATGTGTTGCCGACGCTAAGAGCTCCAGCTGCCAATCGGCCTCTCACCTTCCGAGGCATCCATCATGTTGGCCGGGCTCCGAGCGGGTTTCTGGCCAGCGGCGCCGGTGCTTTCCCTTTGGTCCATGCCATTGGGAGATGGTTCAGACAAAAAGCATGGGGCCTTGCACGCAAGCAACTTCCAAGCTGCCTGCACCTGGATGCGTCCTTTCTTGGGGCGCCCCATAAATCTGAACTAGGGGACCCATAAATGGCCGGCGTCCTTGAAACGGACCCAAAAAGGGTGCCATCAAAAGAGGAAAACCACAAACCAGCTGCAGGTGCTGGTCTCCTTGCTGATGGTCTTTGTGGGTGACTTCCAGCTGGGGATGGGCAGTATTTGCGGGGCCACGCCTCTGCTCTCAGATGATCAGCTGCTGGGTGAGCCAATGCCAGCCATGACCCACCCAGATTTGAAAACATTTTGGTCTGCTTTTGTGGGGCACCCCCCAAAATGACAGTGTTCTTTTTGGTTTCCCTTTTTGTTGCCACCAAACAAGTGGTGCCTTCAAAAGAAGTGACAAACCTCATTTATGGCGACTGAAACACCAGCTGGCCCGAGTCCAGTTGCGCTAAGGACGTGCACTGAGACCATCGCCAACGTGTCCAGCTTTGTGGGCAGGGACCTGCTGAACGGCAAGGTGCGGCTCATGGGCCAAGTTGATGTCTGGCAGTTGACAGCTTGGGAGCATTGCCTCCTCTGACCTCAAATCTGGTACTTTGATTGGCGGGTGTCCCCTGTTTGTGGGGGATTCAGACCACTTTTGGAGGGAACACGCCCCGAATAGTGGGACGGGTTTATGAATCCTGGGTCAACATATCCCAAACCGTTGCCAAAAGTCGGGTGAAGAGCCACTTGAAAGGTCTCTTGCAGCAACGCGGGCGTGCTGATGTGCGAGGGCGTGGTTGCAAGCGAGAACCTGGTGCGCTTTACTATGCCACTTGGCAACGTGCAGTGGACCGCAAAATTTGTTCAGTCCTGTGAATCAGTCGCGCGGTCATGCCAAACTCGGCCAAGGTTCTTTGTTGCATTTTGCTTGGATGTTAGGACTTAAACTTTTTGCCAACTGATGAATTTTCCAACAAAAACTAAAAGTTGTTTTTTTTAGCAGGGGAGAAGAAAGCAGCCGAGTTTTCGGGCGAGTTCTACCAACTCTTGTTCGAAGGGTTTCCTCAGAGCCTTTGTTTTTGTCTTTGAAGCAGTTCTTTTCACACCTTCACAGAAGCTACTGGCAGACTTCGACGAAGCCAGCTTGGCAGGATAGTTCGCACCCCGCATGTGTCAGACTTATTTCTGGGCTACACGTGTAATTGGCTAGAGAAGTGGCAATGTACGATTATGAGAGTGGCCTGTTACTCCAAAGGCCAGCGAAATCTAAACATGCCACAAACAAAGCATGGTGAGTACTGCCGCGTGAGTCAGGTTGTTTTCCCGAAGCGAGGGTAGAAGTACTGTTGTACAGCTGTCCTACTGTACCACGGTGCGATGGAGTTGGAAAGTCGCACACTCCGCAACTGAGTGGTTGCACAATCAATTCGACTGTCAGGATTGCTGCTGCAGTGGGCGCAGCAGCCTCTTGTTGCATTCCCCGACGGCTCATCGTGCCTCAGATGCGCACACAGCGATCTGGTGTTTCATCCCCCTGTTGGAAAGCAGCAAAGCATCCTGGCTTTTGGCATTGTATCCGGTTTGTTCTACATTTGGCACAGGTACCCCTGGCGCGATTCATGATGCACACTGCAAACATTCAATATGTTTGGCCATGATTTTGGTCAGGCTGAACATGGCAAAGGATTCAACCATAAGTTTAAGCAGCAGTTTGCCTTAATCCAACAAGAAATCCGCTCGCAAAGATGGCAGAAGCTCAGGGCAGTATCATAGCTGGATGCTTTTAGAGGGAGTCCCCTATCTGTTAGTGTTTGGGGGAGGTGTGGATGACTGAGGAGACGAAGGAATGGGTGTGTGTGGGTCATTACATCTCTCTCTCTCCCACACACCTTCCTATGCTTCCCATCTCTTCATTCCCTACCAACTGCCTCCTCTTCAACCGCGAGGCAAGTGTTGGGAAGTGAAGTGATGCCATTCCTTTCCTACTTCCCACTCATCACCATTTCCAGTGTTTATTAGTTAGTGAAGGAAATGGAAAGTGATGAGGGAAGGTAAGGAATGGGATTAGACACGGCCTTTTTCATCTCCAAATGAGACCGTGTCATCCCTCTCCATCCCATTCCATTTCATCCCTATCTTTCACCTCTCTATTCGAATACATTACCGCCAGGCATTTGTAGGTAGAACATGTGTGTGTGTGGATGATTCCCCGAATTCGATCTGCTTGGATTCTGTTTGGTGTTCCTTCCTAGAATCCATGATACAACAGCCCTTCTTCACGAGCACTTTGCAACTATTTCAGTCACACAAAAGTGTTTGTTTCATGTGTGTTCTCCAAAGACCCTATTCGGTCAACTGCGGGTTGAATTAACAAGCGCAATCCGTATGGTCAATTATCACGCAAACTTAACAGTTCATATGCGCAGGTTTCGTAAGATTCAATCCTAGGGGGGAAAGAGCCATCTTGAACTTTAGCAGCATGACATGTGGCGGCAGGCGTGCTTTGCGGGCTGCGGGGGAATGTGGTTTGTGTCTAGCGCCGAGCTCTGACCTGCCTTTCCTTCGTTTTTGCTTTGGGCTCTCAGGCTCCACTTGTCAGTCTCAAATTGGAACGTGCAAGGATCCCTTTGAAAGATTGATCCGCAAGCCAAACAACCCGTGTCTGGGGCCATCATTTTGCCAGTTTTCGGGGTTGTCAAAGTCAGAAATTGGGGTTGCTTCCCTTCAACCTACCACTTGGGGAGTGACTTTGACAATGGCGCAATGGGGCCAGCGTGTCCAAGGGTCTCTGTACAAACACGCCTGGCCCGGTGTCCGCAGCGCGCGGAACCCCGCCGAGGCACTGTCCCTGAGTGCAGAGCAGAGCATCAAGACCGCCCAAGCGTTGGTGGCCGGCAAGACTCAGGCCGTGTGTGCCAGTGTGTTGCATGGAAAGAGAGCGGCAACGCATCAACATGCGAGTGTCTGTGTTTGTGCATGTGTTTGTGCATGTGTTTGTCCCGAAAAACGGATATGTTTGATCCCCTCTCGGAATTTGAAGGGAAGGCTTCAAGCCTTCGACCGACTCAAGACCCATGTCGTTGCCATGCTGGAAACCGAGCCTCGCCTAGGAGAGCGCCTGATGGACACCATAGCCCGGAGCAAGAGAGAAAGGGAGAAGGTGCTGCTGGATGAGACTGGCTCGTTGCATTCGCCGAACGTGCGCCTTGTTTGGTCGTCTTCAGTTGGCTCCGGGACTCAGCCAAAGTGCTGAGCATGCAGCAGCAATCTACATGGCCGCATTGCGTCCCATGACCTTGCAAGAACATGTGAAACTCCATAGGCCATAGCCCGCATTGCCGGGGAGTAACTCTACTTGCAACTTGCGCGAGCCATTCCCAAGCGCATGCGCCGCACACCAGGCAGAGTGTGCACCCAGTTGAAGGCATGTGTCACTGCGACCGCTAGGCTTGGGAGACGTCCAAGCAGGCTGCGACAAGCTCAGGCCAGGGCCTTTTAGCCCAAGGGGCGTGGAGGCACAGCCCAGTCTTTGGAAGCGAAAGTCATCGAGATGGTCCCCAGGATCGTGCCCTTTTGCTCTCTTTTTTTTGGGGGGGGGTTCCCCTACTAGAAAAAACTACAAAAAAAAAAGAACGGTGCCCTTATTCTAATCTCTCTACTGGAGGACCTAGTCATAGAGTAGATGTTGGAATTCACGAAAAACACGCCACAGCGATTCAGCGAACTGGCCGCTCGTCACTTGGGCGATCTGAGATGTCGCTGCTGGCCGGAGCCACGCTGCTCAATGGCATCGGGCATTTGGCGACGCAGCTGCAATCCACATGTGGGTCATAGCCAATGGGATCCCATTTTGGTTGGTAGGTGCACCACCAATTCTAGAACCTATTTTAGTGGGGAACCGTTTTGGGATCAACCATTTTGGTTGGTAGGTGGATTCACCACACATTCTAGAACCTATTTTGGTGGGGATTGGGATGTTCACCGGGGGTACGATTTGCATTTGATTTTGACCCACAGCCACATCTTGGGGCGTGAGGGCATAGCTCCTTTGTTCCCGACAACCTGCATGCGGACTGAGCGGCAGCTCCTGGCAAGCGTTCGTTTGCGCACCCTGAAGGATTAAAGCGGAGGGAAGACTGCTGAGTCATACTGATGGATGAAATCCGTTCGCAGCACCTAAGAATCCCATGGGTTGATTCCAGTTTTTGTTGGTATTTACCGGGGAGTCATACTTCCAGGGTTTCTTTCGTGGTGCGAAATGGATCTCGTCCATCCACAGTAGGTCACAGGAAACGCCTAATTTTGTTGCTGTCCACACGGAGCACGGCATGCACTGGAGGTTAGATATTGATTGAAGTGAGCGTGTCTTAAAATAGGATATGGAATCCCAAAAAATAGCAAGGGTTTCCTTTTAGTACAGGGAAAGCGCCAGAGAACCCACCAGCCTTTTTTTTGCTGCAAACATGCTTTCAAAAAGAAAGACAGACCACCGGCCTCCTTTCGGTGGTACCCACCCTTTCTGGTGTTTTTATCTCTCTCATTTTTCCGGGGTTTCCCACCAGTTCAAAAGAAAGCCAAAGAAACCCATCCATCCCTTAGCGGTGCATGGCGCCCCGCTGAAAAATTCCAAATCCCCATTCGCTCATTCGCTCGCGTCCCAAGCGCGCGGCTCAGAAACCGAAAGAAGGCGGAGACAAAGCTGAGGCGAACTTGGGGCAGTTTGTGGAGATCGGCCAGGGCCAAGCCTTTCAGCGGGAGCAGATGCAGTGGGCGCGCCGCGCCTACTGCCTGGACTCCAGGGCCCTGAGGAGATCCATCGATTCCATCGATTCGATCGATTCGATCGATGGGCTCGTTTTTGGTTGTTGTTGTTGTTGTTTTGTCTTTGTTTTTGTTTTTTTGTTTTTTTGTTTTTTTTTTTGGGGGGGGGGGGTCGGGTCTTCCCTTGGTTGGTTGCTTTGTTGTTTTTGTTTTGCGGGGGGGGGGGGGGTCGGGTCTTTTTTTTTGGAACCCGGGGTGGTTGTCTGTGAGGTTTCCTTCTATGACCACAACCCGGGTGGTTTCCTGTCAAGTTTCCTTTTATAACCACGGGTACCGGGCCTCAAGAAGAAGACGGGGGACCCCAATTTGAGATAGGTTGCCATGTTTGATTGAAATGATTGCAGCTTCCCTTGTTTGTTTGTGTAAACGTGCTGAGATCTGATTGTATCTGTGGTTTGCGAAAAAAATGCGCAAGCCGTCCAGGATCGACCTCCTCAATGCAGTGAAGGAGGACGTGCGGGACCACCACCAGACCTATGCCAGCAGGATAGCTCCCCGGAGAGCAATCGGAGCTGAGATTTCGCCAAAGTTCCTCGGGACAGCTGTTTGTCTCTGGCTGTGGGTCAAAAAGTGCGTCAAAAATAGGGTGCCCAAAATGGAACCCTGGTAAACTGGTAAATGGAAACAAAGACAAAAACCTGCGGTTTGCTGATGGCTTGGACCCATATCTGAGGACACCTTGCTAGTGGTGCACACCCTGCTGCTCACTTTTGCCTTGGCCACCCTCCAGTACTCGGACCAGTTCGTCCCTGTGTCAGGCGAGCCATTGGAATGAAAGCCATGCGAACAGAGCACGTCCCGTAGGTTGCGTGGAGTGTGAGGAGAACGAGCATCCTTGGCTAGTGCCCAGCGCTCAGAGTGTGGGACCGGTCGGTCAGAGCCAGGGGATGCATTCCGGCTCAAAAGCCCCGGTGTCTTAATTGTTGAGAGGACCCCCAAAATGATGGTGTGCTCTTCGTGTTCTTTCAAACAAAAAAAAGGCGCCGAGAAACAGGCGCTGAAAAGCGTCCAGCTTGCAAACCAAGCACGTTCCCCGCCCGCGAACTCATGTGCGCAACACGTCTCGCGTCTCGCGTCTCGCGCGGATCAGCCATCCATTCCTTTGGCTCGAGGACCTGCTGGGTGCCGCAGGCTTAGCTGGGTGCCGCTCGTGACCGAGCAGAGCTCTCAATCACCCGGGGAATTGCAGATGTGAGGGACCTTTGTTGGGACCGTGATGTTGATGTGCGGGTAAGGGTGATTTTTGGTAAGGGTAAGGGAATTGGATCTCCTTCAAGGTTGGACCGTAGCGATGTTTTTGAAGGGCTTGGCTTCTATCAGGGGACCTATCAGGTGAGCAAACAGCAAAACCCGGGTTGGTAATTGGAGGGTACGGGACAATCCCAAGAAACAGCTGCCGCCTTTCTCGTTCCTTTCATCGTTCTGGGTCAACCATTTTGATACCGGGGTTTGATTGTGACTCCACTGAGTCTCAATCAAAGCCCGATAATTGGAGGGCACAATCCCAAGAATCAGGTGCGCATATTTGCCTCTCTTGAATTCTTCAAAAAGATTCTGGTAGATCATTTCAAATCCGATCAGTTGATTGTGACTCAGCCGAGGTACTCCGTATCGGGGATCCTGATACTTCCGTTCTGGGGCAGCATGGCTAGATATGGCGAGTTGGGTCAAGGGGCAAAAGAAAAGCTTGCTTGTGCTACGAGCCGGATGGTCTTAGCCACGGCGTGCGCTTGGTTTCGGTTCCAGAGTTTGGCTGCCATGGTTTAACCTCCTGAGTTCCCGGGTGAGTCCATGGGGCAGCTAAGGCATCGTCATGCTTCTCAGCTGAGAATGGTTCGACATGGGCAGCTCCCCCAAACGTGGTCGGTTGCTCAGATGGAAGCGCTCAGGCTCATTTGGAGCAAGCTTCAGCTGGACCACTGGCTGGAGGCTGGGGTTCAGGGCAGGCTGAGCTTGTGGCCATTTGGGTGGGGGTCAAAAATAGGTACCCAACATGGAACGTCCATATCCTGGTGGTGTAATTTTGATCCATACCCATTTCACAACCTACCAAAACCAGCTGCCGGCGCCCGAAGCCTCTGTGACTTTTGGTTGTACCATGTGCCATTGCTGCAAAGGCTCACTCACTTGCTGCGTCCATTCGCCAAACAAGTCTAAACTATTTGATTACCGTCAACCTAGTCTTACCAACAAGTCTGAAGTCCGACTCAGGAAGTGACCTGGCCTTACAAAAAAATCGTTCTGAACCAATGATCAATGGGTGCCAACGGGGCAATGGGGCAAATGGGCAATGGGGGCGGGGGCGGGGGGGCTGCTTGGCGTGCAAAGGGGGGCGCCACTCGCTCAGAACTCCATCGGGCGTCTCAACGTGGAGCTCCGGCGGTCCTTGAGCGCGGACTCCAACTGCACGGAGCCCCTCGGCGCCATCAGCCGCTTCCAGCGGTGGGTTCAGAGGAGCCCTCGGCTGGAAGGCGGCAACGAGATTCAGTGGTCGCGTTTTTTTTGGTTTAGACCTGTAAGAGGGATCCAGTGCTTTTGTTGTTTTCCCTAGGGCTGGTTTGTTACTAGGGCGGGGTTTGGTTGGGTTGGCTTGGGTTGGTTGGTCTCTTGAGGGTTTAGCCGTGCAAGATCCTCCCTCAAGAGAGAGATTTTCTCGGGGAACAAAGAGTCTGGGTGTGAAGCTTTTCGGAGAACCCCAAAAACAGGGCTGGCCCTGTTGGTTTCCCTTTTGGACACACCCAGACAGGGGTGACTGTGACTGATGCCTGAAACAGGATGCTTGGAAGGAGGTGGAGCTGCATGTCATCTTTGAGGTAATTAGGTCATATCACAGCTTTAGCACACATTCTTGGTTTGGGTTCCAGTGCTTTATGAGGAATGTGACTGCAATTATGGGAGTTGTTGCAAAGATTCAAGGCCTCACCACTTCCAATTGTGGGTGTGTCCTTTTTTGAGGGTACCCTTTTCTTGTGGTAAAAGGGGCAACCAACAGGAAACCTGGTTGCGCCATTTTGGGGCTACCCTGCAAAGAAAGGCGCGCATGGGTGACCGACCGATCCGAGGCCTTCTGAGGACAGGGACGGCACTCAGCTTCTCGACAAAGTGGAGGGCGCAGTGACGCGCCGCCCAGCTGACGAGAACTTCGATGGGAGCTTCGAGGGTCCGAGTTGTCAGAGACGCAAAAAATGTTTGCTTCAAGAAGCAGATACAAAAAACCACTTCTTAGTTGTATGGTTTCGAGCGTGACGAGGTATGCTTCGCTTGCTGACAGTCGATTTGTTTTGCACTAGCACTTGCGTTTCCAACAATCCGAGCTGTTGAGAATGGTGTCCTTGTTTCCCCTCAGCCCTTGTTTTGCTTGCATGTTTGGATGTTAGGACTTTAGTTGTTTGCCAACGAATTTCGGTTTTCCAATGAAAAGCCACTAAAAGTTAGTCACTTTTAGCAGGGGAGCAGAACGCAACCGAGTTTGGGTGTGATCCCCAAGTAAGGCCTCAGCACCTTCGTGGTGGAGCACCAGGAAAGTTTCAAGAAGGTCTGGAACCAGGAGTGCCGCTTCATGTGCCTCGGCCTGACCTCGGAACCTTCAGAACGTACCTCACGGTTTTGGTGAGCCAGGGGAAGGTTGGAGACAGAAGTGGGATCTGATTTGGTGATGGGAAGAACTTGATGTGAAGATGTGGTTCTCTATCATTAGTTGGGATCTTAAGAGCTTGAAAGTCTGAGTGATCTAATCAGTTCGATGTGCTGCGCGAACATTTGTGGCCCCCTTTTCTCGCCCCGAGGATTTCGGCCGCCACGGTCTTCCTTTGGGGCTCTTGCATCCTGGCGATTCTCATCACCTCTGGCATGTTCTGGCTGTTCCTGCAGAACCACATGGTTGCTGGGGCCGCACAACGTTGCCCAGGTTTGGGAGGGGGAAAAGGAGTATGTGTGCTTCTCAAGCAACGCGTTGCGGTTTGTAAGGCCTTTAAGCTAGAGAAAGCCCATTTGAGTGGGGGCTTTTGTCCCCTCGAGCAAAAATGTCTAGAGGTGGACATATCAACAAGAAAGGTAGCGCCACACTGCAGCCGGAGGTTTGCGGAGGTTTGTTTTTGCGCGGAAGCTGGCGGAAGGGACGTGGTTGATTTGTTCTTTCCACATTACATTTGCTCGAAGCTTACTAGAATTGCGGGCAGATCGTGCACATGAATTCCCTCGCGGAAGCTACGTTCTTCAACCGTTAGAAACAACTCTTTGCTGAAGGTTTCGCGGAAGTGGCCCATATGTCCAATCAAATTTGAAGGGAATAGAAACCACCACTCATTCGGGTTTTTTGCAGTGGACCCCAAAAAGTTGGGGTTGTCCTTTTGGTTTTCCTTTAAACCAACCCCAAAAAGGGTGACGCAAAAAGAGCTCGGCGGTTGGAGCTCGGCTCATATTCCGCCGTGGATCAAAAAGCAGCTTTTACTACGCGCACGCCAGCCATATGGGAAGCACACCCGCTCACGCGCGCCCGCTCAGCACTGTAAACGCTAGGCGCGAAAAGCCCTGGTTAGGTTTGACCACTTTAGAGTCCTTGCTGTGACGTGGAGCGCGGTGCTTGAGTGTTAAAGAGCATCGCACTGCTCTCAAAGTAGTTTTCCAGGAACCGAATCCTTGTGACCGGTAAACACCGTCTTGGAGCGTTCCAAAGTTCCAGGACGTTCAAGCCACTTTGTCACCTGGCTTGCACGCAAGACCCAGGCGGTCTGATGCTTTCCTACCTAGAGCGAAACTCCTGGCAATGTCAGTGATTGCTTGAACTCAAAAATTGAAGGGGATGAAAGTCAGAATATCCAAACATGCACACTCTACCTAGCTACCTACATGGGTTTGTCTTTGTGCGGAGATCCCTCTTTTGGTTGGTTTTGAAGGGAAACCAAAAGTGAGACCTTTTGGGGTCCCGTAAAAGTAACACACCCGTATACATACACGTACATGTACATAATTTCTTTTCCATGCGCCAACCCCATTGGTCAAGGCTGATCCTCAGCTCTGTTGTAAACTTCGGATATGAGTCCAATCTTTGCAAGCAAGTTGCAAGACAGTGTCAACATGCATCGCACTAGGAATTGTGTCGTTATTTGCTTTGCTCTTCTATATGGGATTTGTTGGGTCTTCGCATCTTTGTCATGTGGGTCGCTGGATTTGTTGTTTGGCAAGAGCGTTGTAAAGTCCACTGTTTTAGGCAATAAGGACAGGCTTAAACCAGATTTAGGAGCATGTGTGGATGCATTGGAGTGCGCACCTTGAGGCTGGTCAACATCGTCACGCTGCGAGCCATTTTGCTTTGTGCCGCTCAACTTCTCAAGACTGCAGAGGGACGGTAGGTTGGTGTGTCTTTTTGGGGGGAACCTCCATAATGGTGGCTTTCCTTCTGGTTTTTCCCTGAAACCACAAAAAGGGGGGTGTGCCTCCAAAGCTGACACACCCACTTCTCCCTCTGGTCTGTGAGGCACCCTGTCTGGCCTCATAGCACCGGTGTTCTACGGCCTGTGGTATCGCCTCTCCTGCGCGCGACGGCCTTCTGTGGACATCTTTGAGGCTCGAGTGTCGTGACGGCGTGAAAGAGTGTCTCAAACTGAGATGGGTCCCCAGAAGTGGGGCCATTGACTGCAATGAGTTCCCTCTTGGCTTTTCCTTTACGGTCAAGGTGTTCCCCAAACTGACGCCCAAGCAATTCCCGGAACCAGTATACCGCTAAGAGGCAAGGATTACGGCCGTAAGGATTACCGCTAAGAGGCAAGCATACCGCTAAGAGGACTGTAATGAAGGTATTAAAGTTTAATGGATACGTTATTCGCCAGGATTGTATCGAACCTGAGCTTCCTCAAGCGATCCGCTGCCACGAAGGCCAGACTTGTTTGCCAGCCGAATACCCGCAAGGCCGCTTCGCATTCCTTGTGGTTTCCCTTCAAAACCCGGGTACCCTTAAGAAAGACAAATGTTGTTGGGGTTCCTTGTTGGGGTCCCTTCAAAAACAAAAAGAATGGGGTACCCTCAAAAAAGACAAACCAATGTTGTTGTCTTTTGGAGTTCCAGAGGTTTTAGCAAAGTTGTTGCTTTGAGCACGGCTCGTGCCAGGGCGGCACATCAACAAATGGCCTGACATCCCCCCCTCCAACCAGTTGAGTAGCATGTACCAAGGAGCAGTGGGCAAATGATGAAGGGGAGTCAGCCCTCGGAATATGGCATATTGACTCCAGAGTTGAAGGATCGTTGCCTTTGCATAGCCATGCGCAAATTGATTGCCTAGTGTGCCGGTGTGCGTTTTGAAGAATGGTGGACACTACAAGCACTCGCTTGAAGATCACCTCAAGTCGCATCGATTTGTGTGTGTGCGTGTGTGCCCACATTGGGTTTTGCTTCAAGATACAGGCATTGCAATGGACATTCCATCATGGTTGGGATTGATCGTGCGTGCCCTATTGAATTACGGCAATGCTGATCTGCCCGTTTGAAATTTTCCGAACTTTTGCCGTGCCGTGTGAGCCATGTTTCTCAGAGCATCCAAGTGTCTTGTGAGGACTTTGTACCATCCACCATGGCCATGTTTTCCCACAGCCCCGCAAGTGGGTATGGGTCAAAATCAGTCAACCGGGATATGGACCGCAGGAATTTTAGTCCTTGTTTCCATTTACCGAGGCAACCCCTTTTTGGGGTTACCCGAGTTTTGACAGCCACAGCCAAGTCACTGGGTGAATTATAACGACCTCACACGACATCAACCCAAATGATGGTTTAGGTGGGGAATAGCCCCCCAATCATCTTATTTCAGGTTCCCAGTGGCACCTCTCAGACATAGGTGTCCTTTTTGGTTGTTTTGGTTGAAAAATAGATGGGTTTCCCTGGTTTACCTGGTGGTTTAATCATCTACCAGGGCCAACCAAGGCGCCCTAAGAGGACACCTATGCTCTCAGAGGTGCTCCCAGCGGTCCTCTGAGCTCCGTGGAGACCTCCATCTCCGCAGCCTCTTCGCGCCGGGCTGCCCAGATTCGCGCCGAAATAAACCGATCGAACGGGAGCAACGGATTGACATGAACCTTGTGGCTGCGGGTCAAAACTCGGGTAACCCCAAAAAGGGGAGCCTGGTAAATGGAACCAAGGACTAAAACATGCGGTTTTCTCCGGTGGTTTAATTTTGACCCACACCCCTGGTCTTAATTGGAGGAGGGTTTGCGGTTGAAGAAAAAGGCAAGGAGAGGATGGAGGGAGTCTGGGGAATTGGAAAAAATCATGGCAAGGACTCAAGGAACTAAGGTGAACAGCTCACTACTTGAGTTCCTGTACTTGAGTCACGTTTTGGGAACACCATTTTGGAGGTAAATGAAAAGTTCCGACTGGTTTTTGTGGCCAATCCACTCGATCGGAAGTAGCTCATGGCCCAGGCGCCGCGGCGTTGTTGACCCGGCTACGTCGCGGACGGGATGCTCGTGAAGGCGAAGAGAGGGGGGCGGTTGTTGGTTCGGGCATGTTCGGGGCCGCGGTCGCTGGTTTCTGAATGGATGCCATCGATTTGTTTTCATCCAAAAGTTGACTTAGCCCCAAGTTTTTTCTGGATTTGGAAAAAGCGATGCGACTCTCGCGGGAAGAGTTGCTGCAGTTGGATTCCTTCAGGCTCCAACATCATCGATGAGGGAGTCCTGATGGCTGAACGTCCCTCAGGATTGCCAAGCTTGGAGGACGACATGTACTTCAACCAGCTGACATGAGCCGTGGAAAAGCTGCAGGAAAACAGTTCAGCCACGTCCCGGTTTGTTTTCGGGTGTTTCCTGGTCAGATGAGATGAGCCACTTGTAGGTTTAAGGTTTGCTCAAAGCCCGTGTGTGGAATCCAAGAAAGCATGGCGTTGCGATTCTACCTGAGAATATGTTGCTTTCCCGCAACCATATGCCATGTGTGTTGTTTGCGCATTTCGCCAAGTTGAGCCATCTCGGCTCAGACAGCCATGCAGAGAGAAGATGCAGGCCAGGCTTCATGTGCGAGTCGCTTGGTTTCCAGTTGCTGGGCGAAGTTTGAGGCCCCACGCTGCTCGAGGCGAAGAAGGGCAAGGTGCGCAAAGGCCGGCCGTTGATGGCGCCGCGTGCGCTGCAGAGTCGCGGACTCGCGCGTCAGGCGGCTACAATGTGTGCGAGATGATGCTCGCCACGGATCTGAAGTCTTTGCGCTCCAAAGGCGGGGAAGTCGGATGGCACAGGAAGTTGGCGGGGGCTTCGTCCGCGCCGCACTCGGTAAAACTGCAGGATACCCTGTGGAGTTGGTGGCCACTGGGCGAGGAGCGCGTTTGCGAAGGCATAAGAGACATGGTTCGCTTGTGCTGACGACTCCTGGGTCGGCAAAAGGTCTTGTTCTCACAAGGATTCGCTGGCCTGGGTGGCTTCCACACCTCCATCCTCATTTGTGGCGAGGACGCACGAAAGCAACTTGCCATCCGCACATGAGTCACATGGCTGCGGGTCAAAACCAACGGTACCATTTTGGGGTAGGCGCACCACCCATTTTAGTCCATTTTAGGGGGAATGGGATGTTCACTCGGGGTACGGGCGTTTGACCCATGGCCACGTGAGCCCTTTTCACTTTGCCCCACATGCCGCTTTGGTCGAACATTCGCGAGCAGCCATGCCCATGTTGATAAGTGAAACGGAGTTGCGAGGTCAATCCCGGAGAAAAACACACGCACGTGAGGAGTATTACTTCTGCCCTATGGGCATCCGCTTCTCTCCCAAGTTGGTGAGCCATCCTCGACCCCATGAGGCGCCAAAGCCGCGAATCGAAAACAGCTGTTTCTGTTGAGAGGCGGCGCCGGGTTTTTAGGGAGGACCAGATGGGTGTTTCTGCAACCTTTGGGTTCCCCGTAAAACCCTCCACCCCCAGTTTCGAGAAACACCCAGATAGCCGAAAAGCCACAAGTACTCCGCCGAGAGCGATTTAGCTGTGCTTCCATTGGCGAACGGCAGCGCACTGGCTTTGCCAGGCACTACGTTTACGGGTTGGGGTCAGCCAGGCTGGAAGGGGAGAAGCTGATCGTGGGCAGAGGATCATGTGGCAAACTCCTTCATCCTTGTTGACCAGTCATAGTGGGAACATTGCTGATCCTTGCCAAGATCACTGTCAACACCAGCACCACATCATCGTCGCCATGATCCTCGTCTTAGTCCTCCTCCTCCTCCTCCTCCTCCTCCTCCTCCTCCTCCTCCTCCTCCTCCTCCTCCTCCTCCTCCCCCCCATAAGCATCATCATCATCATCATCATCATCATCATCATCATCATCATCCTCATCATCACTTTGGGCACCTCCGTTTCGCGCCGCTTCCGTGTCCCGCCGCTTCCGTGTCCCGCCGTAAGGCGACGGGTACGGAGCTTCTGAACTTTCTGGCGGACCACTTCCAGTCAGGAAGCCCGCGGCCCAGGACCGCGCCAGTCGTTTTGACCGAGGCCATCGAGGCCGCCGGCTTTTCGTGGTTTAGAAACTCGGACCGGGTCCCCGAAACGGCGAGCAACGGCTTTCCGCTTGGTGTCCCATTAGACCATCCAAAAGAGGGTTCCAAAAAATAGGAAAGACGAAAACAACAAGCGCAAATGATCTTCGCAGCTCTTGAATCTGATTGATTCCGTGTCAGTTTCAGTGTCCAATCAGGTTACGACTTCCTGCGGAAGAACTGCAACTCCTTCACGGACTGCGCTCTCTACTACCTTTGCAGCTTGGACGACAGGAATCGCAGGCACACACATTGCCTCCCAGCGATAGAGGCGATCGACTCACCAGTTGCAAGAAGGTAAGATGGAGGTTCCTGTGCTTTAGCATAGTGTTCAGATCACATGAAATCTGTCTTTCGGATGTTTTTCTCCACCCTGCCATGGCCAAAATCTCAAGAGGAAGCTGATCAGTCAGTCAGTGTTCACAAGCCAAATCTTTCGTTCGGATGTTCGGACATTGCCATGGCACGAGGGTCCCAGGAAGCTGATCTTCCACCCAGGTCTTTGGCGGAAGGGCGCGAAACCAAGCCCTAGACTCAAAGCCAGTTCAGTACCCCCCAAAAGGGGGGCAGTGAATTTTCTGGGCTAAAGTCTGGGGTCATCAATTTCGGGCTTGAAAGGGAAAGCGGAAGTAAAACATGCGTAAAATAGCTAGGTGGGCGGTTTCCAAGCGGCTCAAGTGCCCTTTTCGGCTGATTTTTTGTTGGGTTTAACCAGAAGCCTGGCCGTTTCGGGGCTCAGGTGGGAAGCGCTTGGATTTCCGGTACAGGGCCATGGAGAAGCTCGGATGGATCGCGGAAAGCGGCTCGGCGGAAAGAGAGAGAGAGAACGGGCCAGGAGCTGACGGGACGTGGTGCCACCTTTTTTTGGAGTCAAGGGACATTGAGTAAAGTGTGTTTTTCTTTCTTTTTTTTCTGGGGGGAGGTCCGATTCCTAAAAAACAAACAACACCCACAGTGATTGGTGGTTTTTGATCAGGTGGCCATTGCTTGTTGGAATGCAGGCGTTCAATTAGTGGTTTTTGTTTGGGGGGGGGGGTCATGATTCATTTCTTTTGGCGATGCGTATGATGTTGCGAATTTGCATCTTCATTCTGCCCCGCCTCTTGAAGCCATCCCAGCTCGTGTTGCCCCGTAAAATGTGCGTGTCACTCTCAAGTCGAGCATGCGACATCCGGCAATGTGCAAAGTTTCAGGTTTCCTCACTCGAGTTCTTGACTTCTTCTTCTTCTTCTTCTTCTTCTTCTTCTTCTTCTTCTTCTTCTTCTTCTTCTTCTTCTTCTAAATCTCATGGTTCTAAGGTAGCTTCCCCCTTCTTTCCAGGGATCCTTCTTTCTAGAAAACCACCAGAAACCCCGGGAAAACAGCTGGTTTTTGAAAAGAACGATGGTTGAAAAGAATGGAAAAGGAATCCTAGAATGAGTTGCCAAACCCTGGCCAAACGTCCAAAAGTCGCTCCAGCTCCAGGCCAGACTGGCTTCCTGGGAACCATCAGCGAGGGAGAGCTGCTCGCCTGAGAATTCCGGTTCGACGTCGGAAGGTTTGTAATGGGAGCCCCAGATGGCTGTGGGTCCCATTTTGGTTGGTAGGTGAATTCACCACACATTTTAGAAACTGTTTTAGTGGGGATTGGGATGCTCACTGGGGGTACGGGATTTTGACCCATGGCCAGATCAAGTAGCACCCCTGATGGATTTTTTGATCGGGGCTGTCTGCTGGAAAGTCAGACCACTTTTGGGAGTTCGAACACCACCCGAATCGGACGGGTTTTATTCGTCTGGGGTGAACCATTGAAAGCTCTAGGATGGTCACCGCTCACTTTCCAAGGTACACTGCCAACCCCGCAGCAGAAGACTTCGATCTGGAGGCGTGCAAATAGTTACATGAGCTCCTGCCAGAACAGGTATCCTTAAGTCGCTGGTGTTGTCTCACATGCGAAATACGTAAGCGAGTCAAGCAAGCAAGCAAGCAAGCAAGCAAGCAAGCAAGCAAGCAAGCAAGCAAGCAAGCAGGCAAGCAGGCAAGCAGGCAAGCAGGCAAGCAGGCAAGCAGGCAAGCAGGCAAGCAGGCAAGCAGGCAAGCAGGCAAGCAGGCAAGCAAGCAAGCAAGTGTTTTTTTGTTTTACAAAGACAGAAGCTCGGAAGCTCGCGCGGTTTCGTGTTCTGCAAAACATGAACCCGTGCATTCCGTATTTGGCCATCAAAACCCGGCCCGGTGAACACCCAGACAGCCTTCAAAAAAAAAGACGACCGTGGAGTGGGGTTGCCATCCCCCCAAAGGCACCTTAGGTTTTGACCCACAAACATTTCAACGATGCTTCGACTCTGACGTCAGCTAGGAGTTGCTGGAACAGATTGAGGACGCCCGCGGCGAGAGCGAGGAGGAGCTTGAACTGGAGCTGCCTCATGTGCCTCCGATCCAAATGTGCTTGGACAGCTATGCGTGTGTCCAAGAGAAAATATGGTCATGTGTTTTTTTGTAGGGAACTCGCAAAAAGGTGGTGTTTTGCTTGTTGGTGTCCCTTTAAAACCCACCAACATAAGGGAAATCCCCCAACAAAATGCCTGATCCATCTCCCCCACTCACCGAACCGGGCGTGGCATGCGTTGAAGCGCTAAGTTTGGCCGACAAGATTCCTCTCGGAAAGCCAAATCGAAGTGGTATTGTTCGGCCTTGGGAAAGGATGTTGTGGAACCTTTGTGTTATGCGTTGTTTGTCCTTGGTCTGTTTTCAAGCCATTCTGCATGTAGCAGCATTTAACGGCTTGTTCTTGGCTTCTTGAAATCGCTGGCTAGCAAGAGCCTTCATGCGGTGCCTGCTCGCTTTTTCTTGAGGTTCGTCCCCCGCAAGCCCCCGCCTCACGCGTTCGACTTCGCCGGATGCCAACTTCGTCGGATGCCAATCTGCCAGGGAGCCCTCAAAAGTCGTCTCACAACGAACCACGGAAGCAAAACCCAAACTAATCTATTAAACGAACCCAGACGACACCAGAGAAGCTTGCCCCCTTAGCGAACGAATCCTGGCACCCTGGAACACACCCTGACAAGCCAAACTGGCTGGCAGAATCGTCTAAAGCCAGTACGATCTTAAACCATAGTGCACCAACCCTCGCAAGACCCGCAAACCCTGACTCTCAACCTCATAACCGCCCCGATCTAGTTTGCATGAATCGACTGTAGTTTGAGCGTCGCTCAAAAGCAACGGTCTCTGGGGCCCCGAGCTCCGAAAGCGCAGAGTGGCAAGGCCATGGCACCTCACGAATCCGACCTGACTGGCCTGCCCACCCTATGCAGTGCCAGTGTTCAGCCCATCTCAAGGTATGTCAGCCTTAAGTCACAGAGGCATTTGACCGCCCCTCTAGTATCCTTCTACCTTAAGTCATTGAGGCCCATTAGTAGACACCCCAATAGTACGGGTTTTGTGGGGCTGGCCACCAAAAAAGGGCGCGGGTAGCTTTTGCCGGTGAGGCGCCGAGCGTCCCAATGGTGGGCTGCTGGCCAGGCATACCCGGACTTTAAGGCGCGAAAAAGGAGTTTTGGGGTGGTTTTAATTTGGTTTGGAGGTGGTTTTAGTTTTTGTGTAAGGCCACGAAATGTTGGGTGTGCCCTGAGCTCAGTGCATAGTGCTTCCGATTGAAAAAGTTGGTTGGCACTTCCGAGCGTTGGCAGTTTCTGGTCCCACGTGAGTTTCTTACAGGACCTCAGATCTATTCCCGCCCGCGTTGGGGCCTTCTTTGGTTTGCTCAAAGAGTCGTTCAAATACGGCTGTTGTCTATGTTTGCAGGCACCATGATTGGATGGTTGTAAAGGGGAGCCAAAACGAAAGCTAGGCATGTTGGGCTGCCCCTTGAAACGACACACCCATACGTGTGCAATGCTGAAGTCCACTTGCGTGGCGCACACCAGGTGAAGCTCCTGCTTGCTCTCAGCCAGAAACTTGGCGTTTGAAGGACCATGCTTCACGGCTCCGCACGGCTTCAGACAGAGCTCTGATGCAATTCAAAGGAACAGAGGCCATCATAGCGTCTCGCCTGAAGATTGCATGAGAAGAGTTGCCATGTCATTACTTCTTACTCTTTGAACTTGCCAAAACGTGTGTGTTGCTGACTACTTGCCGATGTGCAGTTGAGCGGCGAGCACAAAGGCTTGCCTTTCTCCATCTTCAAGCCAACCCCCTTCCAAAATGGGCATGGGCTTTGGCTTCAGTCCTTGTGCTCCAGCGATGCTCAACTCGGTTTCCGAGAGCTTCCCAGTAAGGCGGCAAAACATATCCGCGCGAAGCTCTCCCAAATTCAGAGCGCCGGTGGGCCTTTGCCCGTGCGCTTTCACCCCGGGCACAGAAGCTGAAACCGCGCCGGAGGCGCGAGCCAAAAGCTGTTCGAGGCGTCGAATTCAGCTCGCGTTTCCATTGCCCATGGAACAGAAGAGGCATGTCGGAAAAGATGCGTCCCTGTTCTCAGCTCATGTGGGGTGAAGGAGCCTCAGGAATCAGGCTATCCAAGCAGCTGAATGTACCATTGCGTCGGCCATCGAGACGTTTGCCACAAACCTTGGATCCCCTTCCAATGTCACCACATCAAAAGGCTTTCCCTTGCTGCAATGTTTCGACAGGAAGTCGCGGACCTTTACCATGGTTTCGGCTCAGGCTGTTTGTGTTTTGCTGGCTCGGCGTGCTTCATGGCAACGCATCAAAACGTCAAAGAAAGGCAACACAAGCTAAGGATGGGCCACAGCTGTTACGAATAATATGCAAGGCACCTAAGGCAATTTTTTTTCGACTGGATTTGCTGCACATTCAGAGACTTGGTGCTTGAAGTCCATTGGCCCATTGGGTTACTCCAGCGTGCCACTTAGCCATGGCAAGTCGAGTACGACATGGCCTGTGCCGTGGGCTGCAAGAACATCCTTCACGACTCCGTCTTGGACCGGTAGGATGGTAGGATGGGGAAGTGCTGCTTTTGAAGTCTTGCGCGCTCGAACCCGAAGTGTGCCATACAGCCAGGTGAGGAGTCCTTGGAACAGGGCCATGTCCCTACAAGCATGTCCCTTCAACTTGATTCCACTAGCCGCTTGCTTCGAGCTTGGATCGGTTTATGTTCCGATCACCTAGGTGCTTGGCGCTGCTGCTTGGGCTTGGGAGGACGTAGAACGGATGAGCTGGCTTGGAAGCCTGCACATATTGATCATACAATGTATGTATGCAGTCGACGCAAGTGTGTGTGTGTGTGTGTGTGTGTGTGTGTGTGTGTGTGTGTGTGTGTGTGTGTGTGTGTGTGTGTGTGTGTGTGTGTGTGTGTGTGTGTGTGTGTGTGTGTGTGTGTGTGTGTGTGTGTGTGTGTGTGTGTGTGTGTGTGTGTGTGTGTGTGTGTGTGTGTGTGTGTGTGTGTGTGTGTGTGTGTGTGTGTGTGTGTGTGTGTGTGTGTGTGTGTGTGTGTGTGTGTGTGTGTGTGTGTGTGTGTGTGTGTGTGTGTGTGTGTGTGTGTGTGTGTGTGTGTGTGTGTGTGTGTGTGTGTGTGTGTGTGTGTGTGTGTGTGTGTGTGTGTGTGTGTGTGTGTGTGTGTGTGTGTGTGTGTGTGTGTGTGTGTGTGTGTGTGTGTGTGTGTGTGTGTGTGTGTGTGTGTGTGTGTGTGTGTGTGTGTGTGTGTGTGTGTGTGTGTGTGTGTGTGTGTGTGTGTGTGTGTGTGTGTGTGTGTGTGTGTGTGTGTGTGTGTGTGTGTGTGTGTGTGTGTGTGTGTGTGTGTGTGTGTGTGTGTGTGTGTGTGTGTGTGTGTGTGTGTGTGTGTGTGTGTGTGTGTGTGTGTGTGTGTGTGTGTGTGTGTGTGTGTGTGTGTGTGTGTGTGTGTGTGTGTGTGTGTGTGTGTGTGTGTGTGTGTGTGTGTGTGTGTGTGTGTGTGTGTGTGTGTGTGTGTGTGTGTGTGTGTGTGTGTGTGTGTGTGTGTGTGTGTGTGTGTGTGTGTGTGTGTGTGTGTGTGTGTGTGTGTGTGTGTGTGTGTGTGTGTGTGTGTGTGTGTGTGTGTGTGTGTGTGTGTGTGTGTGTGTGGTGTGTGTGTGTGTGTGTGTGTGTGTGTGTGTGTGTGTGTGTGTGTGTGTGTGTGTGTGTGTGTGTGTGTGTGTGTGTGTGTGTGTGTGTGTGTGTGTGTGTGTGTGTGTGTGTGTGTGTGTGTGTGTGTGTGTGTGTGTGTGTGTGTGTGTGTGTGTGTGTGTGTGTGTGTGTGTGTGTGTGTGTGTGTGTGTGTGTGTGTGTGTGTGTGTGTGTGTGTGTGTGTGTGTGTGTGTGTGTGTGTGTGTGTGTGTGTGTGTGTGTGTGTGTGTGTGTGTGTGTGTGTGTGTGTGTGTGTGTGTGTGTGTGTGTGTGTGTGTGTGTGTGTGTGTGTGTGTGTGTGTGTGTGTGTGTGTGTGTGTGTGTGTGTGTGTGTGTGTGTGTGTGTGTGTGTGTGTGTGTGTGTGTGTGTGTGTGTGTGTGTGCGTGTGTGTGCGTGTGTGTCTCTGGAAAGGGGTTCTTGTTTTTGTTTGGCGTACGGGAGGCAATCAAGCTTGCACAAGTAGCGCCGTTTGCCGCCAGGATTTTAGATGGCAGCTTTGGGCAGTGCTTCACTGGTGTGACACAATGGCTTCACCGGAGCCGGAGAATGCAACCTGGCCTCATGTGCTTCATGTCGCGCCTCATGTGCGACCTTTGATTTCAAGGGTTGACGAGCCTTGCTTCGGGCAACCCGTGTCCCATTTCGGGAGTACAAACGGGCAGCCATGCTACGCATGTCGAGGGGTCACTCTCCTGATGCCCGAGCAGTACGGCGAGCAACTGCAGATCCCTTTGCCATGCGCCACGGCATGCAGTGGTAACATGCCTTTGTGTCGCAGCCCACTGTCCGACGCTTCTTTGGGTCATTTAAGGAGCCGAGCGGAGCTCAAATCTGCACTCTTCAGCGCCTTGGACCAGGACGGTGACAGGCACATTGCGCGCTGACATGTGTTTGTGTGTCTGTGTGTGTGTGTGCTGTGTGTGTGTGTGCTGTGTGTGTGTGTGCTGTGTGTGTGCTGTGTGTGTGTGTTCTGCGTGTGTTCTGCGTGTGTGCTGCGTGTGTGCTGCGTGTGTGCTGCGTGTGTGCTGCGTGTGTGCTGCGTGTGTGCTGCGTGTGTTCTGCGTGTGTTCTGCGTGTGTTCTGCGTGTGTTCTGCGTGTGTTCTGCGTGTGTTCTGCGTGTGTTCTGCGTGTGTTCTGCGTGTGTTCTGCGTGTGTTCTGCGCGTGTTCTGCGCGTGTTCTGCGCGTGTTCTGCGCGTGTTCTGCGCGTGTTCTGCGCGTGTTCTGCGCGTGTTCTGCGCGTGTTCTGCGCGTGTTCTGCGCGTGTTCTGCGCGTGTTCTGCGGGTGTTCTGCGCGTGTTCTGCGGGTGTTCTGCGTGTGTTCTGCGTGTGTTCTGCGTGTGTTCTGCGTGTGTTCTGCGTGTGTTCTGCGTGTGTTCTGCGTGTGTTCTGCGTGTGTTCTGCGTGTGTTCTGCGTGTGTGCGAGTGTTCTGCGTGTGTGTGTTCTGCGTGTGTTCTGCGTGTGTTCTGCGTGTGTTCTGCGTGTGTTCTGCGTGTGTTCTGCGTGTGTTCTGCGTGTGTTCTGCGTGTGTTCTGCGTGTGTTCTGCGTGTGTTCTGCGTGTGTTCTGCGTGTGTTCTGCGTGTGTTCTGCTTGTGTTCTGCGTGTGTTCTGCGTGTGTTCTGCGTGTGTTCTGCGTGTGTTCTGCGTGTGTTCTGCGTGTGTTCTGCGTGTGTTCTGCGTGTGTTCTGCGTGTGTTCTGCGTGTGTGTGTGTGTGTGTGCGTGTGTGTGTGTGTGTGGGTGTGTGTGCGGGTGTGCGTGCGTGCGTGCGTGCGTGCGTGCGTGCGTGCGTGCGTGCGTGCGTGCGTGCGTGCGCGCATCCATGCGGGTGTGGGTGTGGGTGTGGGTGTGTGTTGTTTGTGTGTGTGTGTGTGTTTAAGTGTTGTGTGTGTGTGTTTTTGTGTGTGTGTGTGCAATTGTGTGTGTTTGTGAATGTGTAAGTGTGTGTTTATGTGTAAGTGTGGGTTTGTTGCGTGTGTGTTTGTATGTGTGTGCGTGTGTTGTGTGTAAGTGTGTGTATGTGTTGGTATTTGTGTGTGTGGGTGCGGGTGTGGGTGTGGGTGTGTGCAAGTGTGGGTGTGTGTATGTGTGTGCGCGTGTGTAAGTGTGTGTATAGGCGTGTGTGTGTGTATGTGTTGGTATCTGCGTGTGCGTGTGTTTGTTTGTGTGTGTAGGCCGCAAGTGTGTGGGTGTGGGTGTGTAAGTGCGGGTGTGTGTTTGTGTAAGTGTGTGTATGCGTGTATGTAGGTGTGTGTGTTTTCGTGTGTTTGTGTGTATGTGTGTGTGTGTGTTTGTGTTTGTGTTTGTTTGTGTGTTTGTGTGTGTCTGTGTGTGTTTGTTTATTTATTTCACTTTATTTATTTCTTGGTGGTTTGTTGTTTTTCTTTGTTTGCTTGTTAGTTTGTTTGTTTGTTTGTTTGTTTGTTTGTGTGTTTGTTTGTTTGTTTGTTTGTTTGTTTGTTTGTTTGTTTGTTTGTTTGTTTGTTTGTTTGTTTGTTTGTTTGTTTGTTTGTTTGTTTGTTTGTTTGTTTGTTTGTTTGTTTGTTTGTTTGTTTGTTTGTTTGTTTGTTTGTGTTTGTTTCTTGCTTCGCCTGATCGCATTGAAACAGGCGAACCGTGCTCCGAGTCTGGGGTGGGGACCAGGATTCAACATCACGGTGGGCCACCACCTCTGGTCATGTACAGCAATACCCACAAAGAAGGAATTTGGTCGAATGAGCCTCCAGGTAGCTCCAGACGAGATGGGCCTCAGGTTTGGGAGGAATTGGCAGATCTGCCACATGTCCCCGGTGTTGCTCGTAGACTCGAATGTTACTGTGGATGGACGAAATCCTGCACCCGTTGTTTGTTGGCATTTACAGGAGAACCATCATTCCGGGGTTTGTTAGGTGGTGCAGGATTCCGTCCATCCACAGTATGAGGGGCTAAAACCGTTTCATATTACGGAAATGCCGTTGACGACAACACACATGTCGACGAAGATCGCCGAGGCTTCCCTCCTTTCAGCTAAGAGCAGCTCTCTGATTGAAAACTCAAGTAAGCCAGCGGCTGCAAGCCGGGCTTCGCAGATTTCGCAGCCGAGTATTTTTTCGTTGGTCCCGTCAGATCCAGGCCTCCAGTGACCAAAGAAATGGGTCTCTGTTTCTTGTCTGCCTGGGCTGATCCGAGACACGAGATCTGACTCGCTAGGCGGCTGTTGAGCCCCGAGCTGCGGCAGTTCGCAGAGCTCACAGGCTTCGAAGGCGGCGGTGTTTCTTCTTTTTTCGAGATCTCCTCTGGGGGTAGCGGCTGTTTCCTTCGCGACTTCCAAGGAAATCCCCGATCCGAAGATCTTTTCAGGAAACCATCAAGCAGCCAGGGGAAACAGAGCCGGCTTGAGAGAAAAGAACGATGGTTGAAAAGAAGGGAACACGAAGATCAAGCCCTGGAAAAGAGCTTCGGCAGATGTCCTTGGGCTTTTTTTGCGGGAGGTTCAAAGACCTGGATCCCTTAGTGGGTTTCGGGCTGGCAAAAGGGGCGGGTTGGGGGCTGGTCTAGGGTTGGTTTAGGTTTAAGGTTGAGCCCAGAGGTGTTGCGCAACACTTCACTGTGGCTCTTTAAATGTTTATCAGCTGCGGTTACGTAGGTTTGAGTCTTTGTTTCCATGTCATGTGCCAAGCTGCGTGTGTGTTTTTCCCAATGGATCAAACATTGACTTACAGTGTAGATCAAAGGTGATCCCAACCTTGTTCATCCGAGTACCCATGGTGTGTGTGTGTGTGTGTTTGGGATTTTTCCCCGGTACCATCATTTGGTTGCCACACCTTCGACAAGTCGGATGTCGAAGATCTTGCTGAACCAGAGCTTCCCTGCACGGCTTCACGGGTCACCCGGAGACGGGTTACACAATTCTTTGGCCGAGCTTCTCTCAAGTGAAGAAGTGTCGATCTTCGCACTCCTCCGATGCGAGTCAGAGAAGGTTACAGGTTCGGTTTGAGCTGAGATCACCTGACGCGCTCTCCCTGCGAGAGAGTTAACCAGCCAGTTCAGTTTGATAGCGATCAGGTTCGGTTTGCAAAAGCCTTGCCTGAGTTTACAAGAACTTCCCAGCCAGCCACTCGTCCAGAGGGCTTCGCGCGTCCGGCGGCGTCGGCCCGAGGCGACCCGGAGGAGTGGGAGGAGGAGTACCGGGTGCTCTGCGAGGCCCAGGGCTGCGACCTCGCGGCCTTTGGCCAGCGGCTTGGGGTCGACTCCGGCGAGGGACCAAAAGTCGAGATGGATTTGGTGGGTGCTCAGTCTGGTTTCACTTGAAAGTCTGTTTAAAAAAGAAGTTTCACTTGAAAGTCTGTTTTTTTGGTTTCTTTTTTTTTATAGTCTGGTTTCAGTCTGGTTTGAACAAAAGTGGTAGCCTGGAGGGAGGGATGTTGCTTTTGTCTTGTGTGGAACTCTACGGGCCTGCCGCTTGCCCGGAGTCCAACTCTTTATCGCTTCAAATGAAAAGGGCTGTTTCTGGAGGACCAGAAAAGAGCAACGACTAGTTGTCCATTGCTACTGGGTCGGCACAGAAAGAGCGTCTCAACACATGTGCCTCAACAAGGAAGGATCTCAAGTACGAGAGAAGCCTGGAGGGCCATAGCAAGTTAAAAGTCCTTTTTTCGGCGCCACGCGGAGCCACTCCAGTCCATCATTGGAATAGTAAATGGTCCTCACTCAAAGGTGTGCCAAGCTTATCCCAAAACAATCGGCAACGGACAACCCTGTTACAAATCAATTTCCTGCGAGTATCTGAAGCGTGTTCTGCTGACCACACTCGCGCAGATATTTTTATGAAGAACCCTTCTCAAGGCCTGTGCATCAACAGTGACCAGATGTGACAAGCTGCTGAATTTTGTATGTTGTATGGTTTGATTTCAAGAGTCATGACCAGATGTCATGACACAAGCTGCCGGATTTTTGGTCTGGTCCCTGTGGGCTCGCGGAACTCGCGGAAGGTTTGCGCCGCGCTCTCGCGCTCGGCGCCGAGGCTGCTGGACGACGACGAGGACGGCCTCTACTGTGCCGACGCGGAGCTCGCGGAGATGCTGCAGGTGCTCATTCAGCAGGGCGCCAGGACGCCGGGTGTTCTTGTTCTTCTTCTTGTTCTTTGTTTTCTTCTTCTTCTTCTTCTTCTTCTTCTTCTTCTTCTTCTTCTTCTTCTTCTTCTTCGTCTTTGCTTCTTCTTCTTTGTTTTCTTCTTCTTCTTCTGCTTCTTCTTCATTTTTTTCTTTGGGGTGGGGGTCCCCTGAAGAAAGACACACCTTTTCGTTGCACCCACGCCTCTCATGCTGCCGGATCCAGCCGAGGTTCATTTTAACGAAGGACCCCCACCCGGAGCGCGAGTGCACTAATCGCGCAGGATCACGGCGGCCCCTCGAGATGCAGGGAGGAAGCTTGGCGCAGCAATACCCGCAGGCCCGATCGATGCGAGGTGCTCTCATTTTTGTGCAAAGTCCATTTCTTTGGCAAGGCCCCGAGCTCTTCCAGCGTGAAAGGGAAGCCGGTCTCTACGAGACTGGCCTGCATTTGGCGCCAAGCTGGGGTTTTGAGCTGGGCAATGAGATGGCATACTTGAGTTTCCCGACCTTCCAGCCTGCCAAAAAGTATCTTGCCATTCTATCTAAGACTTTGCGAGCAAGTGCGCACGGGTGTCCTTTCGGACCCCTAATTTTGACAATTTGCAAGCTGCTGGAGGTGGACGATCAGCTAGGCTCTCCGTTGGAAGCTCTCTAGAGCGAGCGAGTCAGGATGGCGAATGGAAGCCGTGGGATCCTCAAGAGGGCGTGCGGGCAAGAACACCTCGCCTAGGCCAGCCGTCTCAAGTCGGAAGTCGGTTTTTGCTGCCTGTCGAAGTCGAGCTTCGGCAGGAGAAATTGGGAGCTTGGAAGGCCGGATCTGGACAGTCGCGCTCAGATTTTGGAGCCCTCAGCCAGACAGGGTTGAAGTTGCCGCGCCGAGGCGCTTGGAATAGAACGGTTTTCAACTCTGCAGGCTGTCCAAGCAGCACGACTGTCCAAGAGGCGCTCATGTTCGTGAACGAGCAGGTGCAAGATACTGCTACTGTTCAGAGAGGCACTTCGATGGAGCTAAGGAGATCCATGACAGCCTGAAAAATGCACACCTGACCTTAGAAATACAAGTGCAGCATGCTGAGAGGTGGCTATAGCAACTCCTGGCTCCTGGCTTGTTCGGTGATGACGTGTGTGTTTCCCATGCGTGGCGTGTGACATTTGCTTCAGACCCTGGCGTTGGTCAACAGGTGCAAAGCGGCATCTTCGGAGATCAGTCAGGGCAAGCAGGAGAGCGACTCAGCGCCTATGGCTGCAGTATTGCTATGCACTGTATGCACCAACCCGAAATGAGCCCCTGCTTGTCAATCTTTGTCATGCCCAGCCCATTTTGCAAGGTCCTTGAGCGATTCAGAGTTCGTCATGGCAAAGTCATTAGCGAAGCGCCTGCAAGAACGGAAAGTGTTCAACCGCTATGAGTTGCGCAGGAAAGCGAAGATTTGTGCTCGCTTGAAATGTCTGGATCAATTCACCAGGGATTCCCTTGAAGGAAAGCATACCAGCACCCTCCGACTACCACTGTAGCTACCGTCTATTTAGCAGGAGTTCTGAAAATCCAAACAGATACAAACAAGCACAAATCCCTAGCCCTTCCCAAGCCCACGGACGGGGTGACACCCAAGTGACACGCAGTGACACGTGGGTGAAACGCAGGTGACACGGACACGGGGGCGACACGGGAGGGACACGGGGGCGACACAGGAGCGACACGGGGTGACACGCAGTCACGCAGGCGACACGGGGTGACACGCGAGTGACACGCAGGTGACACGCGGTGACACGTGGGTGACGCTGTGAGGCGCTTGCTGCGCTTGCTGCGCTTGCCGCCACCCCTAGCAGTAGTTAGACTGTTGGGCATCCCGCAAACAAAATAATTAACAGTAGTCTTGCGAACTACGGTCTTTTGTTGAAAAATTCTGTCGACTGCCCTCTGGGCAGTAGTTGGAGGGTGCTAGCCGTGGTGATTCCATTTCTCAGTCCCTTCTGAGCACCGGCAAGAAAACCATGGGCCTTGCCAGCTCACTGTCGGCTCATTTTCAGGCGAGCTCCTCGCACTTCAAGGACGCTCCTGAAAGCACTCGACACAGACATGGGGGTTGATCAAGATTCCAGTTTGCGGGTATTTCACTTGTTCTTCCCCCTGTAGGTTCTTTCTTAGTACACTTTTAGCACTCCTACAGGGGTGGATCCACAAAAAACGCATCCAAACTATTTGGTAGAACCATGGGTAGCTTGTCCCATGTAGTGAAAGTCATCTTTTGTTGTGGTTTGCCTCAGGTATCACGGACCTTTGGATCAACCCCCCACGAAGCAGACCCTTTGGGAAAGCCGTTTGGGAGTTGCTGCTGGGACTTCCGAGCGATGGCATTCGCCGGACTTGGATTCGCCCGAAATTCGGCCAGCGACCTCAGGGCGTCCCACAAGCGAAATGTTTTGACCCCCTTACTCCGTGTGGGGTTGATGAATCAGGGGTCGGCATTCCAACAGATGTAGGATTGCTGGTGCCTTGCAACTGGGACAAAGCTACTCTTGACGGCAGCATGATCCTTCCGTCGCAAAGATCGGCGGAAAGCGCTTGCCAGGATCTCCCAAAGCGGGTGCTGGATGGTTCGAATTCCGACTTGACGAAAAGGTGCCACCTGGCCGCATATCTTCACAGTTCTTGGCAAGTTGTTTGTTTTGTTTTTGTTGGTTCTGTTCATTTTCAGTAGGGGGCTTAAAAAAGCAAAAATGTGCAACCATAACCGTGAAGAGACAAACGCATGCGGCTTGGGTTTGGAGTCAAAGGCGTTTTTCTGAGGCTAGATGAGGAGCAACTGGCTGACCTGGTGCTGGCTCCAGCTGGATGGCGAGTTGACCATTCGCTGATTCCCACAGGCGAATCGAACCACAGGAATCGAAACACAGGATGGCAGTACATGGACTATTTAGGATTGGGATGATATCCCAGTTGTTCAGTGGGGTGCTTCCTTTTTCCTTTTTTTGGGGAACAGTTGTCCCTTTAAAGTCAACCCTTCCCAAAAAGAAAGGATTCGGATGCCCGATGCCGAGTCTTTGTTCCCATGGGAAATCCGCGCTGAGATCTGCGACCCAGGATACATGATGCACATCATGTCTGTGGGCAGCGGCGTGAAGGCGACACTTTGCGGCCGCGAAGGCGCAAGAAGTGGGGCGTTGAGTGTGTCGCTTTCTTTGAGTGTAAGCACCCCCCCGTTTTTGAGTAGGTGCCAAAGGAAAACCTTAAACGGAAAACCGAAGCCAGTTTGGGAGGTCCACACAAAAAAAGAACACTCAGCTCATGCCTTCGATGTTTTGGTGGGGGACTTGCAGCGAAAACGCAGGGCTCATCAGTAGGGCTTCCGTCTCCGAGGCTTGCCCATCGTCAACTCGCTGCACCGGGATGTCTCGAAACAAGGCTGCAAGGCGACGTGTGCTGTTGCTTAGCCCGGCCAAAAAGTTTGATATGCCTGGGGTCATTCTGTTGACTGTTTCAGGTTATCAAAGTCAGAAACGTCCCTTTCCCCCACCACTTAGGGGAGGTTTGGACGGTAAAACCGTGGGGCCAGTATGTCCGAGTTGTGTTTGACCTGCAAGAGCGCCCCCGGCCAGTCGCCTGCATTTTGAGAAAGGGAACCTCATGAGGCATGCTCCGATCATGGCTTTGCACCGGACTGTTTCCAGTGCACATCGACCGTTGCTGCTTCGGACACCCCTTATGTTTCCCGAAATCTCCCAGTGACTTTGTTTTGTTTCGACCACAAGAAGCGACAAAAGTTCCCACAGGCTGCAGGCAAGGAGAGTCTTGCAATCATAGGTGTCCTTTTTGGTTGGTTTGCTCAAAAAATAGAGGGCCCTGGTTTAGATGGGGGTTTATTTCATTTACCAGGGAAACCCATCTATTTTTCCAGAAGGCCACCTATGCTTGCCATTCGTTTCGATTTGTTTCTCTCAGGAAGTGCAAGCGACTCTGCGACACTGGGCTTTGTGGCGTGGTGGGCCGGAAGCGCGTCCTCCTCTTTGCTCCTGACGCCTTCCCAGCCAGCAGCAAGGCCTCATGATGGCAAGATGGAAAGTGCGAAGGGCAAGGTCTGCCAATCTGAGCTCATGTGGGTATGGGTCAAAATTAGTCACCAGGAATTAGACCGCTGGATTTGTTCCATGTTTTTTCAGACCCACAGCCATGTCAAGAAGTCAGGCCACAAGGCGGATTTTGCAGCTCTATGAGATGTATGAGATGTGTCCGAGCTAGGCCAATGTGTTTGTCAAATTTTCCGGGCGCAAAGTCTTGACAAATGAGTCACACTCAAAATCCGGGTAGAAGGTGTGCAAGAGAGAATCCCCTCGCCATCAATGGGTGCGGACCTTCGCCTCTTGATGTATGGAAAGGACCACTTGAACACCCATCGGTTTTCATTCTGACTCAACTGAACACATGTGGTTGCTCAATATTCCGTTCGGCCCCCAGATTTGAGCATGGGCTAACTTTTCCCATGCGGTTGAGCAAATCGAATCTGTTTAGGTGTTCCAAGCAATGGTCGTCCCAGGCATCCAACGCGAACCTTTTGATCCACCCCATTTTTGGTGCGTTTTGCCAAGGGATGTTAGGACTTTAACTTTTGGTCAACTAATTTGGGTTTTCCCTATTAAACCACTGAGCAGAAAGCCACCGAGCCATGGACTCGCCTGCCACGCGTTTCGCGTTTCAGGTGCTGCGGAGCCCCGACATGGACTGCGAGGAGCTGCGGGCTCTGAGCCGCTTGACGTGTGAGCCGGAAGCAACTCCATGCAACAGCTTCATGTGGGCCGTTGATACATGGCCATGGGTCAAAACCCCGTACCCCCAGTGAACATCCCAATCCCCACTAAAATAGACTAAAACGGTGGAGCACCTATCCCAAAATGGTACCATTGGTTTTGACCAACAGCCACATCTTCCATGGGCCCCCGATTTTTTGACCCATTTTTTGTTTTTTTAATGAGATCGAGACATGGATCCAGACATGAGGGTTGATCAATATTCCATGGGCCCCCGATGGTTGATCATGGGCAACGGTTCCCATGTGGGAAAGTCAAATCTTTGTTGGTGGTTTCCGCGATGATCAGCCCAGGTATCACAGACCGTTTGTACATCGCATCAGTCACTTTGAATCACAGGCCATGAATTCTGATCATGGTTGGAACCCCTGCAAAGTGGTTGGTGGCATGTTCACCTAAATGATGTCCTCCAAAGGGTCTGGGACGTTGACACGAATGCCCATGTGGACGTTGATCAAAAGGCCGATTTGTTCAACACATGGAAAAAGTTACTTAAGTTATGGTCAAAACTGGTGGCCCTAACTGGAATATTGACCGCCCCCCATGTGGGTGCGGGTCAAAATGAAACTACCATGTTCCACTTGGCAGAGTTCCTATGAAATGGGGTGAACCATTCCCCATGTCTGACCACCTTTTTCTTGTTTCCACTTACCATGTTTTCATGTTTCCATGTTTACCTTTCATGTCCCCCATGTTGACATGTTGTTCATTTGCCTTTTTCGTTGTTTTTCCCACTTCCCATGCCACCCATCTGTGACCACCCGCCATGTCTGGTGCTTCAGGTGGCCTGGCGGAAGAAGAGGCCTGGCAGCGAATGGAGCAGCTGGCGCGCGCCAAGGGTGGAGCTCCTTGGACGTGGACTGGAGGTGGGTACCTCTTTTGAAGGCGGGGTGTTTAGCGGGAATGTCCGACCACACGGGTCGAAGCGGTTTTAGTGCAAAGATGTTATATTCAACAGACTGCGCTGGGTCTGAGTCTCAGATCGCTCGAGACCCATGCAGATTCAATCAACAGCAATTCCCATACAGGTGCTGGAATGTGTTGAGCCGTGCGTGCGTCGGATTACATGTTACACATTCATATTGTTTCTGCCGCTGGACATCATACAAATACGCAGAACACAATAACACAATGAACACAATACACGGAAAAGTTCCTTTCTTGGGAGTTCTCCCCTTCTCTTGATTGCTATTGGGTTGGATCTTTAGACTTTATTTATTTCTTTTCGAAATCAAGCGGTTTTCCACTAAACCCACAACAAGTTGAACTGTTTGCAGAGGGGTCGCTGCAGCAACCAAGTTCTGCTCGGTCTATTTGCCCACGTCCGCTGACACGTGGCGTTTTTGATGCGGACATCCCGAGGTTCTGGACCTGATGCCAGGGCAGTTTGTATTCGTCCCCCATGGCTGGTGGCACGCCGCGGCTTAGCTGGAGTTTGGAGTGCCTTGTTTTGGCCTCCTAGGTTTTTGTAGGGAAGTGGTGCGAGGACAACTAGGGGCCTCTAGACTATGGCAGGGTGACCCCGGATCAATTGTCAATGGGGGCGGTTCGGTTCTTTTAGCATTGAATTGAATCTCTCAGAATTGTTATTCGGTTCTGATCGATTCCGTTCCTAGGATATGATCGAGCCAGTTGCTGGTTCTCGTATTCGAGCGGGGCAAGCGTTAGCTCTCCAGATCTGTTCAGCCATGAGGTACGTCCCATCGATGACTTCACTTTTATTACTGGGCCTTCCCAGCTCTCTAACTTAGGAGTAGGAACGACCTAGAAAACAAACAATTGATTCATCACTGTATAAGATAGATATTGAGTCATCGATATTGATATTGATACGAAAACAAAACGAAGCGGTTTATTGAAGATTATTTGATAATATGAGATCACGAAATTTATAAATGACCTTGTGATACATGATCCTACGCAATATTTGAAAACATAGGTTGGTTTTCACGTTAGTGCGTTAGTATATTGGTAGGTAGGTGTTAATTTAGATATTGGGATGTATGGTTTGTTGGAGATAACATTTAAGAAACAATTTGCATATATTTAGATTGGAGATATAAGTTAGATTTAATAAATTATTTATTTGTAATACGAATGAATTTTGTTTTGTGTATTTGATATTAGCTAAGAAAAGGTTTGTGTTAGTATGTTTGTTATTTATTTGAATATGTTTTAATTAAATTTATTGGGTTATTATAATTATTAAAATTGACAATTATTGGAATGATAAGTAATTATATATTATTATTATTTTAATATATTTAAAAAACATAAAAATAAAAAATATTGAGGAAATATATATATATATATATTGTTGATTGTATTTGGCTTGAAAAAATAAAATATTGAATAAATGTAATATATATAATTATAATAATATATATATAATTATTAATTAAATATAATATATAATAATTAGTATTTTTAGAAATTATTTTGAAAAAAATGAAGATTGAAAAAAAAAACGTTTTTTTTATTGGTTTATAATAAAAGTTATAATGAAATATAGATATTTTTAAAATATTTTAGATATTTGCAAATATGATGTAGGTAAGGATGGATGTAAGTGTTGTTATTATTAGTATTATTTATTATTGTGTATGTAAATTGATATATAAAAAATAGTAATTGGATTTGTGATAAGGTATGGTTTTTAAATTACATAAATAATATTATATTAGGTTAGTTGAGGGAGTTATATTTGGTAATAATAATAATATTTAATAATAGTAATGGTAATAATAGTAGAAATAATAATACTTATATTTGTTTAATGTTATTTAAATATATATATTCCGATTAAAACACCATTATATATATTATTTTAAATTGGTTATTGAAACCTTATTTAAAATATAATGTTATAAAATAATTTTTATATTGTTAATAATTTGAAGCTATATAAACGTAACTCATGTCAATTGGTTAGGCTTTATCTGCTCCACGGAGTCTGTTAGAGCTTGAATATCTTGCGATCGCCTTAATAATCTCTAAAGTAATGCCCATCTATTTGATTAAGTGTCTATGTTGTGGCCAGGATTTGTTTGTATAAAGCCTGTTTTATATATAGAAGAAGAGTGTTTAAATAAAGTTTGAAATATTCCAATTTATAATGTGTATAAGTTATTCCTAAAGATTGGTTCATTGGTTAATTGTTTTGTATTTGTTTCCAAAAAATCGGGAAAGATATTATTTAAATACCGGCGCCAAATAATCTTTAAATCCTAAAAGATATACAAAATATCCAAATTGTATTAACTACATATTAGCACTGCATAACTATATATAAATATCTCAAATGTTCGACAATCTATAAAATAAAATTAATGTAAATAATAAATTAAAAATATATAATACTTAAATAATATTTCGATTTTTTAATATAAATAAGAAAATTAAATATCTAAACAATATATATATAATATAAAGTCAAATATAAATAAATAAATTATATTTTATATAATATTATAATTATATAATATAATTATATTAATTATATTTTTTTAATATATTAAATAATTAATTATAAATAATTAAAATATTTAAAATATTAAATAATTATAAAAAATAATATATATTTAATTATGTTAAATATAAATAATATAAACAATTAACAATAAAAATAAAAAACTAATATATTATATATATAAATATATATATATATAATATTTTAATTATTCCCATCTAAATAAAATATATATTTATTTCGTCCTTTCATTTTTTTACATACCCGATGCAAAACCATACAAATAACAATATAAAATTCGAGAAATAACATTCTTACTAATTTTCTTTAATGGGGGCGTTAAATAATTCCCATTCATTTTATGAGATTGAACATATCCCGAATATGAATTTGTCGGATATTCATTCATATGCAAAATATGATTTCAGTATATTTAAGTGTTCTTGTGTTTTGTAATGTATCGTCTGTCGCGGATTCTTGATTGTCTTCTGAAGTTGGACCTATTCTTGTGCTCCAAGACCTGGGCCTGAACACTATGCGAATCAGTTGAAATGCCATGTGAGGGGTTTTGAATGTCAAGGGAAACCCAAAAGGAAACCACCATGTTTGGGGTGTCCCCAAAACAGACTCACACTTTTCAGTCACGTACGATGCAGCACGGTTTAGGGGTCCTCTTTTTTTCCCAGCAGAGCGGACGCTGTGTACACCGGTTCAATGACAATCCCTCAAATCGAAGTAAAGCAGGTACGTCCCCTTTGTTAGACTGGGTCAGTCACGGAGTGCCCAGTCTCCCCTGCTCAAATCAGATTATGACATTGGAATTTCCACACACACACACATGTAAGATTGAGGCCCAGCAAGGGGCCAATATCCAGTGAAAGCCAAACAGCTTGATCTGCTGTGATGCTTGGTGCCATTTAAGCAAACAATGCATTCCGCAAACCTGAGCGCTGCACCATCACTGCTTGCTGACTTCCTCGAAATTCTCGCCGATGTCTGGGATGTCCTTTGCAATTTCTATCTGTGCAAGTGGAATGCCTGGTTTTGCCGGAGTTTTCTGCCAGCCAACAACGCGCCTCGTCCTTCTTGGTGTCTGCACCTGGCGATACGGGAGTTGATCAAAAGGTCCGTGATACCTGGGATGACCATTGCTCGGACAACCACCAAGAAAGATGACCCTAAACCCTGGGGAAAACAAAGAAGGTTGCCCTATGCCCAAAGTCAAAAACTGGAACCCCCACATATCGATCCACCCTCTTCGCCCCGCGTTTCCGGCACCGGCCGCACCGGTCGCATCGACGCGCGCGCGCGCGCCTCCCGCGAAGCCCTCGGCGATGCGCTTCAGGTTCATCAGGTTCTCGGCGCCTCGCGGGCGCTTTTGGTCGAGCCCCGGCTTTGGCGCGGCAAATCGCGGGTCTCCCCCCCAAAAATGTGCGGCCTTGTCTGTTTTTTTGGAGAGGCTCCATCTAGAACAGAAAAAAGAGAGAAAGAAAACAACCCAAGGCTGATTCGCCAAGCAGCCAATCTGGTTGATGACGCCCGGAAGCAACTCCTGCGCCAGGTTTTGCGCTGCGCCTTTCCGGAAATGACGCACGAGTCACGCATCTCAGAAAGCATGGCTGTCTTTTTTTTAGGAGTCGGACCCCCCAGATGGATGCTTTTTTTTGGTTTCCCTTTAAGACCATCCAAAAGGGGGTACCCACAAAACAAGACACACCCGTATTCGGAACAAAGATCGCCCCTTCCTGTGTCCGCGCCTTTTTTTCAAGTTCTGAGCCACGTGTATAAAGGAACGAAAATGAGAATAACGGGCAATCGGTCTTAAGTCCGATGAGGAAACCCTAGTGTCGGCCGACGCAAGACAGCCTCGCCAACTTACTTGCTCCTGTCTCTTTGAAACGCAACAGGGCAAGCAAAAAAGAAGCACCTGGCTCCCGAAGTACAAGCACAGCATTCAAAGCAAGTGCCGGGCAAGTGTTGTGCTTGCACTGGGTAAGGTATGCCAGAGGGCTTCCCTGAAATCCGCACCAAAATTCTGGTCTGGTCTGTTAGACCAGCCCTTCCCAAAGTGCACAGCATCTCCCACACACCATGCTCCTCTCATATCCTTGTCGCGTCTCCCTAGGGAGGCTGGTGTGTTGCGGGACATCTATGGAACAGCTGCCCCATGGCAGGCAGTGCAAACAGTTGCCTTGGAGCCACCTGCCCCCGAGGAACGCCCAGACAAGTGGCAGACAGCATGCGTCTGCAACTGACATCCTCGACTGGATTCCTCGGCTCCGTGCTGCAACTCTGGATTCCTCGGCAGTGGATTGACTGAAAACCCCGTGAGCGATCCATGTCTAAGCCAGATCCAATCAGCGCCGGGATCTCCAAGTGCAGGCCTCTATTGCTTCCGGCAACAACGCAGCAATTTTCACGTCGCTGCATGGATAGTGTTGACAGCGCAGAATCAACCAGTATGTGAGTGACCATGAAATCCATGGGCTTGAAAACCTCTCGCGCTGCCAGAGCCTCTATAGGCCCAACTTGAAAGGAACGCAAGCATAGCCATGCTCCATGCATGAATTCAGGCTCTGAGTGCTTTGTATTTCCCGAGACTGTGACTGTTGTGCCATGAAAGTGATGAAAGTGATGCGAGCACCAGAAAGGACCGCGGCGCCCCGATTCCCAGCGGAGAGCTTCTTCGGCTCACGCGGCCCGCGGAGCCTTCCGAAGTTTGTTCCCGAAGCTCTCCGTGGGTCGGGGCGTGGCTTTCAAACACGAGGCCTTCGGAATTCGAATTGCTCAACTGAGTCACAATCAAAACCCGGTACTAAAATGGTCGCAATATGTGAAGAATTCAGAAGGCGGCCGCAACTATTTCTGGCTGGGACTGCCCTTTACTAACCTTCATCTGTCTTGATTGTGGCTCAAATTGAATTCCGAGACCTGGGCAAAAATGGGGGTTGCAGAGGCAGAGCGGCTCTGTCAGACTGCCCCCGCGATCCAACTCTTGCCTTTCAAACATCCACTAAATATGATGCAATGCCTGCAACACATCGGGCGTGTCGGGGTCTCAAATCCACCTTGTGCCGTGGTGTTCATGTGTGTGTGTGTGAGATATTAATATCGACTTGTTCATGTGGTTGCCTGGCTCCATGTACCTTCATGGGGCTGAAAACATATTTCACCGAGAACGGAAATGATTATCGAGGTCCATCGAAAAAGATGCCTGCCCTGCAAACCATAAGCTAACTGGTGGTCCCTTCATAATTCAGCAAGGACCTTTCGGACGAGTCCAATGCGTCTGTCTCACAGGGTGTTCGGACCGGGAGGTATGATTCGTGGTATGGTTGGGTACACAGATCGAACTTCCATCCTTTACTAAACATTGGGCACCTGAAAACAAGACACCAATTGTACAAACATATATATATATATATGTATATATATATATATGGCTGCGTGGTCGGTTTGAGAGCCCCCAGTGGCCCTGGCTGTTTTGTCGACCTCACAAAGACTTGGAGCGGCGACGGGTTGGCTCGCGCACGCGGAAGTGAACGAAGGTGCCTCACGCAGGCCCTCCAACGATGTTGGGGGGGGAGGGGCAGGGCTCTTGATCTCCGTGGAGGTTTACTTGCTGGCGCGATAGGTAGGGAAAGACCTGGGACTGAAACCACCAGTTGGATGGTTTATGGGGGTCATTCCATTTGGCTGTGGGTCAAAACCAATGGTACCATTTTGGGGTCGGTGAATTCACCACCCATTTTAGTCTATAGTGGGGATTGGGATGTCACTAGGGCTGGCTGTGCCGTCCAAGCTGCGTTCCACCGGCAGATCTGCTGAGCGCCACTCGCACATCTGGGACCACTCCTAGGCTGTTCGCAGGCGCCCCGCTCAAGTGGCTGTGGGTCAAAACCCAAATCGTACCCCTAGTGAACATCCGATTCAATCCCCACTATAGACTAAAGGGGTGGTGAATTCACCGACCAACCAAACTGGTACCATTGGTTTTACTTGGGGACTCCCTTGCAACGATAGCCGGTCTGCTCTCCAAGCTGCGCTGCTGGTTTCATCCACGTCCACAAAGTCCGTTGAGGAAGAGCTGCCCTGGGTCACAGGGAGCCAACATCCGTCACACGGACATGGCATCACGACATGCATTTGCCACAAAAACTTCAGTCAATTCATGTCAGCCATGAACGCGAGCAAACCTCGGGGCTCTGAAACCCAAAACCACTGCCAAGATGCGACACTCACCAGTGCTTGTCGCTTCGGCACCTGCACCTGCTCCTGTCGGACTCTCGGCCTGCCTAACGCCATTGCCACTTTGCATCAGAACTTTCCGAACCACGTGCAAGAGGAACCTCTTCCTTTGTCAAAGCTCGTTCACACTTGGTACGCAAATGGGTGGATTCCTTTCGTGTTCCCTGGAAAACCATCCACAAAGGATACCCTCGAAAAAGACACATCTAAAGAAACATATCGCTTGCAACGATCTGAAACTAGATTCACTCGGCTCAGTCTCTCCTTGACCGGCCGAACGTGCTGCACCGCACAAATCCATGGGTATGATGTCGTCGTGCAAGCTCCTGCATGCAAAAGATACATAGCCCTCACAAAGCCCGCAGCAGCATCACCATGCCCTGTGCATTGCTCTGCTTTTGAATAGACAAGCCGCATCCTGCCATCTGTTCTGGAAGGATGTGTCAGTGTAAGTGTAGGCAACGGCCCTGTGTGTGGTGATAATTGGAAACACTGCTCGGACCCAAAAGAGTCGACCATTTACAACGCCATCGTGCGCCTCCTTTGATGCTCACGGCCGGCAGCGGAACAAAGACCTTCAGGTTCGCGGCCGGCGCGTGTTGACTCCAAGCAATTCAGCTGCACATCTCGAGCCAAGGCACGCAAGGCATCATCGCAGGGCATAGCGTCGGCGCCGGCTTTGCCTGAGACAGCTCTCGAGGGCACCCACATGGCTAACTTCCCACATTTCGTGGTAAACATCATCTTTTTAGCGGTTTTCCAACCAAGGCTCCCATGTTTATCGGACCTTTGATCCACCCTCGGATTGAATCCAGTTCTATCTGATCCGAAACATCTCGCGGCACCCTGCCTCAGGGCTGTGGGACACGCGCTCCTTGCGTAGCCAAGACTTGTCACGCGTCGCGTGCTGTGGATCACTGCGCGCTGTCTGTTTGATACAGGGCAACTCGTTGTAAGAGTAGCCTCAGAGCCCCAATTTGGCCCCATCCGACCAGGAATTTGCTTGGAAGATGATGCCATGGACATAATATGTATGTGTATATATATATATATATGTATATATATATATATATGGTACAGTGTTGCCAGTCCTCCCCCCCCCCAAAGGTCATGGGTCAGACAAGTACCACCCCCCCTGTGGTTGTGGTCCTGTGGTTGGGTTGTGGTGGTTTAGGGTTGGTTTAGGGTTTGGAATTGGTTTAGGGTGTATTTAGGGTGTATTTAGGGTTAGTTTAGGGTTGGTTTAGGGTTGGTTTAGGGTTGGTTTATGTTGATCTAGGGTTGGTTTAGGGTTGGTTTAGGTTTACAGGTTTACGGTTTAGGGTTTGGTTTAGGGTTTGGTTTAGGGTGTATTTAGGGTTGGTTTAGGGTTAGTTTACGGTTGGTTTATGGTTGGTTGCGGGTTGGCTTGTCCTGGGGGTGGGGGTGCCGGGGTGTCGGGGTGCGAGTTCAGGGAGTCGGGGTGGGGCTGGGACCGTAGGTGCCAGGATCCGGGGGCTCGGGGTCTCGGGCCCGGGGAGGGGGGGGGGTTCTGGGGGGGGGGGGGGCGGGGTAGCAACACGGAAGACGGGACCATATATACATATATATATATATATATATATGTACCCCTGCGTCAGCGCAAACGGCTGTCTTCGAATAACATGGGCTGTGTGGCCTATGCAAAGTACACATCATGACAGTGGCGCCTCCCTACCAGAGCCACGCTCGGCATGTGTTCTCTGAGCTTGCACAAATGGAAAGTCAGCAAAAAAGGCTTGTGTTCCACTCGATCAGTCGGACAAATCGCTAGAAACCGGCCTCCTTCCAAGCCGAGCCTACACCGAAATTCCGCGCAACCGACGAGTTTTTCCGCCCGCGAAGCCGGCTTCGGCAGAGCTCCGCGGGCTGAGCCACTCTGATCGAAGAATCCATCAGCCAGGCGAAACAAAGAAGCAAGGACCGCCAAAAACCCTTCGAGCCAATCCCGAAGTCTGCGAACCGCAATAATTATTTCCGCAGGTTTCTCCCCAGTCGCTTCCCAGTGTCTCAAAAGAAAACGAGCCGTTCCTTCGATTCGAAGAGCGTCGTTGGCCATTCAACAGAATGAAGAAAAAAAACCGAAGCCAGGCGATCTGAAGCTCCAATGGCCTCCGTCACCTGCGACTCCATCTGCCGGAAGCGCTGCACGGCAACTTCGAAGCGGTCGCCTGCGCGTCCGGCCCGATGCCGCACTGGCCCTCTTCTTCTTTTCCCTTCTTCTTTTCCTTCTTCTTCTTCATCATCTTCTTCATCTTCTTCATCTTCTTCTTATTCTTCATCTTC